ATTAAATTTTGGCTCTGATTGGAGGAGGTAGTCTATGCCAATTGACAATACAATTGACTGGATTGTATTTGGTTGATAGACTGGATTGTAAGTTCTGTGCAAGAGCCCAAGTACGTATGGTCACGTAACGATGCTTGCAGGAAATAGGAAACCTGTAGGTTGTGACCAAAACATGACAAAACAATAAAATAAATAAATAAAAGATAAAACACCATAAAACACAACATTGATTCATTTTCCAGATGTAAACAAGAGGTCAGGAATGGAAGTGTATCTCTTCTTTACCCACACCTCTGAAGGTAGAGAGGCTATTTGCGCATATCATAGGAGCTAATTAATTGGATTCAGCTGGGCCCATGTATACAAGGACTGAACATGGTTTGCTTTATTTTAAGTTTATGTAGACAGATCGCACTCAGTTCACTCACTACGATTATTTTCATTCATATTGAGGAAAATGTTGCATGTAAACGTAGCTATTGTCAGACTTATATACCTGGATAATGCAGTTAAAAAGCAAATTTCTCTGTCATGTGTATGGCTCAGTCTGACAGAATCTGGTTTAAACGTTCTGCACATGTCCCAGTCATGGCATGCCAGAATTTGAACCAGTGGTCGGATGAAGGCAGTGAAGCAAGTTTGTAAGCAAAACCTCATTGGACAAAGATGGGACATAAAAGAGATGAAATTTTCCCTAGCTAACGGCACACAAATGTTACATCCTGTTGGCCTCTTGCTCATTATTAAGCAGGCTGTTTTGATAGGTAAAAAAAGGAATGGATTGTCATGAGTTGAAAGGGGGACTCACCACCTACAATAGTAGAGGTCGACACACTTCAGCCAATTATTCAATTCTTGCCCAAAACATGTAAAGTGGGACAAGGACGGTAGTTCAGTTAAATCGCCTAACTGATCTTTGGTCATAGCGCGACTTCCAAATGCACTAAGTGTGCTATAGGTTGTAAATTTGTTATGGGATTGTACACCTTAAGTGTTGGTGGTGTTTTATTGGAAAAGAAATATTGAACATGTTCAAAATCTATAATGCGTCTAAGCACCCCATGTATGGAGGCAATAGATTCAGCTGGACAACTGTCCTTGTCCCAGTTTACAAGCATTGGGCAAAAATCTAATTATTGACAGGAGCATGACTACCCACCGCCACTTTGTCCATGGTTTACAGATGACCCATATTTACCATCTACCTGGACATTTGACTTATCAAAACAGGTGGCAAAACATGTCAGCAAGAGGCAAACAGGACATACTTAAAACAATGCAAACACTGTCACTTTCACAGCTCTTAGCTGTTTGTTGGTTAAGTTTCATTTTTTACATTTATTTTCGTCATTTCTTGAGGTTCTGTTTACTACCAGGCTTCCCAGCCACGGTTTCATGATAGCTCAGAGCCAAACATGTGAACAGTAGTTATCTTGGCTGCATGACAAGGTCTACTTGCTGCTATGTTTGCATTGTTTGAAATGACAGGCAGAAACTGTGAGGCAGAAGGTGTTTCAAAATCAATGCATTTATATGAGTAGAGCTTCTATCAATTCGCCTTTAATTAACAAGACAATATTATTAACATCGTCCATCATGAGGCTGCACAGGTAAATGTTGGCACACTGGAAAAGAAAATAAAGGAGGAATATTTGAATATCAGGGCATTTATAATTACTAAAATATGTTACAAAGAAGAATTTTAAGTGGACTCAGGGTATATTAAAACAAAACAACAGACCATGTGGAAACTCATTTTTGATCAACACCTTATCTAATAACTTTCATGTTTACCACTCCAAAGTGGTTATGTTTAGGAATGTGAGGAAAGCTCTGGTAATACTAAAAAGTCATAACATGAGAGTTGGAAAGAGAGAAGAGAAACGAAAGTGAGAGAAGAAAAAGATGGAGAGACAAAGGCATTATCTCCTATTTTCCTCCGCAGATGACAAGGGTAAAATAATTATTATCACACAAACAATAATCTGTCTTTCCTGTGCCGTCTCCCCTAAGTCGCTAACATAGCTCCAGGCAGATAATATACTGGACTGCCTGAGATGCATTTGAATATTTCTTTGGCAGGAAATCACATTACTGGCTATTAAAAAGTAATTATTTGTACATAAATTCCCCCCAAGTTTGAGCCCAGTCTTGGCAGATGCTCTTGTGTGTGTTTGAAGTTCGATGCTAAGGCAGTTAGCGTGCGGGGCGTTGCAGTGTTGTGTTTATTAAAAACACAGACAGCCTCTCCATCATCAACTTTGCACACATACACACACTCACAGGCACTCACACACAAAGATCCACTCATACACGCACACTTGGTGTCACAGAAACTATATTTCATAGGGAAGCGAATGATAATGTAATTACCAACACTTAGCATAGACAGTGAGAAAGAGGGAATGCAAAAAACTAGAGCGATTCAAAGATGAAAACGAAGGGAGAGAAAGAATATATATGAGAAAGTTAAAGAGAAAAATGAGAGGGAGAGAAAATAAAGGATGTGAAGGAGAGTGGCATAAAGGCACAAGGATGAATAAGGGCAGAAATCCAGATTAGCAGGACAGTTTGGTAGAGTTGCTGTGCAGATTGTTTTAAAGAAAAGAAATTTGGTAACACCTGAATACAGTAGACTGTAAAAGCAGAGGACATAACCTGCATTTGCTCACCTTACCATTGTGCATTATTTTTCTGAACTCTTGAGAATAGCATTTTGGCAGTAGCCATCTTGATTTTCTGGACCCAGAAATCCTTTGAACAAAAGGATGTTGCTGGAGATGAGTGAGGGCTCATCTCAAGTTGGACAGCAAGCTATAGAAACTCTTTATCAGTGGCCGATCACAAAAGAAAAAAAATAATAATAATAATGAGGCAACCACTATATTTTCCACCAAATATCACTCTGATATCTCAGTCTAAAGAAGGAGAAAAAAACTTGTGTAACCACAGTAAAAAACTGTATGGTTATTTCCATAAAATTACTAACTCTAAAGCTCTACTAAAGCTCTGTGTAAAAGTCCCTGAGCTCCCTCATCCCGTAGGTTTCTCTGGATCTGCTACTGCAGATTTCTTGCTGCTTTGGACCTGCCTGTTTTCCATCTGCTTCAATTACATGCATCAGTATCACCATTTTTTTTTATCACTGTTACAAAAGAAATGTTTAATTATTGCTTACCAGTCTTTCAATTTTTATCATTGTAACAAAACTAATGGTAATTTTAGAGCTTTTTGACTTTTTATGCTGGAATTTGTCCAATTCCAACCCCATAGTATTTATCTTTAAGATGCTGTCCCTGTAAATACTATGGTATCACGATATTTTGTCTGGTTATACATCGTTCCAAGTATTGCTTTTCCAAATTAATTGCTAATATGAAGTCAAATCTATGATAATGGAAAAATAAAATCAACAGTTTTTTCCAGTGAGGTTGGCAAAGGTGAAATCATGGAGCAGGAGAAAGTTAGTACTACAAATATATATAAGGTTTGCAAGATGTGCAACATGAAAATAAAATACTGCGTAAGTAAGACAAACATAAAGGAAAGACAAATGCTGAATTTGCCAAACAGTTGAAAAAAATTGTATAAATCGCATTATTGTATCACACTACTCACTGTATTGCATAATGTTAAAAATCCCAATAATATCACATCAAGGCCCAAGTATCGTAATAATATCATATCGTGGGGCCACTGGTGATTCCCACTGCTAATTTATATGTATGATAATTGTTTTTCTCGGTTTCTCTCTCTCTCTCTCTCTCTCTCTCTCTCTCTCTCTCTCTCTCGCTCTCTCCCTCCGCATCTATGATAGATAGATTCTGATTAGAAAGTGAGTTTATAGCCAGACACCAACAACACAAACAGAAGTAACGGTTTTGGTTCCGCGATGAAGTTGGCGAGGTCAGTGTCTTTGCATAAACAAGCTGCTCCCAGCACGGTTACTCATGAATGCACCATTTAATTTAATTAGGACCTAAATGTGTATTTTTGGTATCAAGTTGAGTTTTTGTAGACGTTGCCATCACAATGACAATTGACCTGCTTAAAAATAAGTGGAATTTGGACCACCAACACAACTTATGTGTTTGAAAGCACAAATATATCAGAATAGCATTTTTTGAAGAGCTGATTAATAGTTTTCTGTAATCTGCACCCACCTTTGGCAGTCATTTTCTTAGCTGTCATATTTTTGTTTAAAAACACCCTAAAACATTTATTTTTGCTCTTTTTGGCCTGACTTACAGGACCACTGTAAGTGTAGCTCTCTTTATTTGGCATGCGGGCACTCAGTGCTTCATGTAGCTTTTCAGCAGGAAGGTTGAGAAGTGATGTTTTTATAGCAATTTGTGGCTCCACTGTACAGACCTTAGAGGATCGTTAAGTTGCCAACCTTTAATTTCCTTCCATTTCTTGTGGTCTGCCAGGGGGACACTCATTTGCACAGACTAATAGATCCTTTTGAATATTTGCTAAGAAATATCTGTTAATGCCAGAAAGCAATCAACAACATTTAAAAAGAAAGCTAATGTACCCGTTTTTTGTTTGTTTTGAAAAGTGTTTAAACATGCAAAGAACCGTGTGAGTTTTGTCAGAGAGTCCGACATGTAGCATAGTAACAATACATAAATGGGTTGAAACCATAGACTGTATATACTATGGACAACTTGGTTCCGCCTACTGCCTGTATACGGATTTGAAGCCAAATAGCTCTCAATATTTCCGGGATTTTTCTTCATTTCCTGAAACCAGCGCTGTGCAGTAGCGATGCGCGCATTCAGCCGTGCAGTCGCCGAGAGTCGCTGTGATGACAGTCAGCTCAAACAATATATCCCCTGGGTGAGCTACGCAATCCCTGAACGCCCATAGGCTGTATCAGGTGTCAATCATAGAAAACATGAACATGAACAAAACATGAACCCCCTAATAACTTTTAAAAACGGAGCTTCACAGAAAAAAGAGGACTTGAGCACAAACCAGTCTTACAATAACTACATGTCAACATCACAAGCAGGGGGGAGAAAAAATCATGTTCTGTGTAATAAATTTCTAAAGTTTGTCCACAGCTCCATAAGCTTTGCTGGCGGAGGCGGGATTTATGACCTATATTGCAGCCCATCAACAGAGGGTGCTGTTCTCGGAGTGGCTTCACCCATTGAGGAGGCAGACTCTGTCCATTCTTTATACAGTCTATGGTTGAAACCTACATTTTGGGCTGTATTGACTCTGCAGTGGCAGAAAGAAGACTTTGAAGTTGCACTGCGACTGAGACAGCGGGCCATAAGTCTTGTCAGAGTCATGTGGTGATTGCCCTTCAGCCTAAAGGTTCGATTTCAAATCACTGGGCTGCAAAAAGAAGTTATGAAGGCGATATTACCTGTTTCGTCTGTCACTGTTTTAATTGTTACAATGTTGGTCTAATCGACTGACATTTAAAAAGGTAATTATGAAATGAAACACCTTGTCTCTAATCTGCCTCTCTCTACCTGTCGTGCTTTTTGACAAATGGCACTGCAGCTGAGAGAAAGCTGCAAGGATGGGCCTTCCTACATTAAGTTCTGCACACAAAACAATACTTTTGTCATTTGCTGACTTTTAAAAAAAAATCCTCATGCGGTACTTATTTGCCTCTTTGTTTAACACCTGTAGATAATGTCAGCTAATCTCTGTATAAAGCACCGCCAACATTTAAAGGCTACAATTCTGACAACAACAAACATGTGGGCTGGAAAACAAACAGCATATTCCTGTTTCTTCACTGCTATATTTTCATTATCATGTTGTTGTGTTTTTTTGTTTGTTTATGGCAGTTGTCCCCCCTAAAACATTGGACAATAGTTAATATGGACAGGTTGTGTGCAGCCTTTTTCCTGCAGCCTGTCTAAATCTCACTCATTAATAACCTTTATTAATGTTTAATGCCTGAATTACTCTGACACTCTGACAGAGGCTTGGTTTCAGCTGGTTTAGGTCAAACAGACACTGGATTACTACGTGTCTGCTCATATATGTGTGTGTGTGTGTGTGTGTGTGTGTGTGTGTGTGTGTGGTGTGGCGTATCCGATGACCTTGTCTGCCATTAAAGCTTGTTATTCTTAATTTTGACATCGTGCTTATGTGAGAAATTAAAAACCTGTCTTTTCTCTATATTTGTATGTTCGTGTGTGTGTGTGTGTGTGTAGCGTAACACAGATGAGGTTAGCAAGGGGCATCTGGCAATAGTATCCTCACCTCTTACAACAACATGGTTGAATTTCTTTAAAAAAGACACACACCCCGAAATGAATGTGGATCAGAGGAAAGTGAATGAAAGCAGAAGTAGACTGAGGCAGTCAGTGAGTTGAAGCTGGCACTGTAAATTGTCAGGGGTCCTGTTGGATATCATTCAGTTGGAGACATACGGCTGAGCTGGCAAAGTTTTGTATGAGCTCTAAAACTGGCCAAACTCAAGGGCTGCTACATGAGAGACGAACTTTAATGTAAGTGGCTACTGTTGGGCAGGTAACTTTTTTGATATAATCCATTACAAATCTCTTGTCAATGCATAACCGGAGTACAAAACGTAGGACCCAAACTTGTGGTATCATGTGACAAACAAAGACAGTTTATGACCCTTCCTGCTAAGTCATTTCCAGAATGTTTATTTCAGTAACATGGACTTGATATGCAACAGAAACACCTGAGATCAGAGTGTGAGATGATCATCACTATTTAATAGTTTTAGGACTTAAAGTTATTCTGTGGTTGTGTGCAGTGTGACTGTGTAGATGTGCTGACACCCTCATGTTGCACCAACTGTCACAAAATAAGATACAGAGGTGGAGTTGAGAAAGTCTCATACCTGATACTAACAATGCAGTGTACAGTATTTAGAAATAACCTGGCTTCCCAATTATAGTTGGGCATCTGGCACCTGGTGCTTCCCCTGTCTGACTGGGTCAGAGGAGCTGATTGGACACAGGGGGTGTACAGGGTTACAGTGGCACACACACAGGGACAAACAGACAGATGGATAAATGGATGTGGACAGATGCACTGAGAACGCTGCAAAGCCTCGGAGGAAAAGCAAGGACACAGTGAGACTGGCACTGTTTTGTACACTGGCCAGCGAGGTCTTGAGTTCACAGGGTGGGTGGCTGATCGGCTGCCCATGTGTGGTGTAAACATTTCATCCATAAGGTAGAAAACAGCAGCCGCTTGGTGTTTTTATCAGAGGGTCTCTGTCTGTTCAGTAATTTGGAGACTAAATGTGGTGATCCAATTAATTCTGCAAAGTATTCAACTCCACAGAAGTATTTTAGACCACAGGAAAATCCATACTGTTGTCGTCTAAAGATATATTAATGTGACAGAACTCTGGTGAAAAAAATGTGACCCACTCTGACGAAAATCATGTTTAAAAAGTTTTCATGATCATCCAACACTCAGTGTCCTTCCTGATATCCTCCAAAGTGGTGAACTAAAGACCAAGCATCAGTCTAAGGAAGCACAACAATTGCTGTAGATGCTTTTTTATATTTTGTAGGACACCAGAGTCACTCCTGCCAGAGCTCTGTTTAACACAGAGGTAGTTTACCATGTCTAAATATGATTGTCAGGGCCTTTTACAGCTTTTAAAGTAATCTAAAATTCTGCTCATTTACTCTGTAGTCCACAACGGAAGGGTCTAGAGTGGCTTTTTGGTTGAGGTTTGTGGTCAACTTTCGATCAGGTCCTGGGTATGTAGATGGGCTATTTACATGTTTCTGATCCTGAATAAGAAGCAACTTTGCTGAAACCTTTTTTCCAAGCTCATTGTTGAGCATGATTGGTCTTAATACTAGGCATCTATTGTAAGAAATGCAGCTGATTTTGACCTCTATATTTATAGTTTTAAAATCAGAGCCCTGCTTTTAAAGATGGGCTGTTATTTTCAGCCAAATCACATGCAGTTTACTGTGCAGCGGACAGTGGGACAGGGTAGCCAATTACAATCTGATTAGCTGCTCCCTTCTGGTTAGTGAACTGACTACACAATCTCACACAGTGAAAGCAGAGCTTCAAGCTGACCCCCCAACTTCAGGTTCCCTTTTTGCTTTCAATAGCACTTGTATAAAAATTACAATCTCTAAGTACCATGGCATGTGATGTGGACAAGTAAAAAAAGCATTTATACACACAGACTAGCCAAAACTTATTGAACACCTATGCAGACTGGTACAGTACAAGAGCTTTACTGCATTACAGTTGGTGAACATCAGTATTTCAAGTTGGCAATCACTTTAACCCCCTCAGAGGATATGAATGCCTAAACACACTTAGCCAAACATCATGAGCCTTGAAGGTCTATCTTTGTTGTTTCATTTCACCAAAACAAAGTGACCTATTCTTGGCCTTGTGTCTTCAAAAGTGTTGACACAAATGTATTATGCATTTTGTCAGACTCTATACTTTCTCTTTGATACCTCTTTAATAGCTTTACATGATTTTCAGATTTAAAAAAAAGCCTTGTCACTTCTCACTGTAATGTATTAGAATATCATTATTTCAGCCTCCGTCAAAAGCGCTTCGTTTAAGCTGCAGTCTCTTTAAGGCTTTCCGGAGGCCAGCCAAGGGCAGAAATCAATGTTTTTACCCCGCCCGGTTTATTGTGGTTAATCAGTAGAGCAGCATCACCCTTGTCCGCTGTGGATGTCACCTGATGTTGGAGGAAGGCCATACTGCTTTGCTAGAAGCATAGATGAACCAGTTAAAGGGATATCCTGGCGTAAATGTAAGTTATGGTCAAACACACTGTAACATCGAGTTAGACTTCCCCTTAAAAGATGAATGTTGCTGACTGTTTGGTTCTTTAGTTATACCAACTTCAGCAATGACCGCACGATAGCAATACACAGCAGTCTACATCGTCACGCGCAAACCTCAACCAAAAAGCCATTCTACAGCCACAAATAATGCTCAGAACAGCACCTAATTTCATCAACAGTACATTTAGGGTCCCAGCCATAGTACTAGCCATTAGACATCTTTTTAACTTTGCCTGATTTCTTTAGCAAAGAGACTAAATGCAACTCACCCACTCTCCTCCAGCAGCCACTTGTTTGTCAGGGAGCCCTGGCGTGTCAATCACTGAGTGCAGCGGAGTTTCACAGCTCAAGGAAGAACATTTATGATTAATACTTCATGGAAATGCAGTTATACCAAGACACTAAGGCAGAAGAACTACTGTGTCTGCAGTGCAAAATGATTATTTTGATGATTATTACTTCATGGAAATGATCCGTTGCACTCGGTGATCAATTTACTAGGGTAACGATAACATACGTTTACCATTTGATTTAAAACTATGCATACACCTAGAATGAACACCAAACATTGTAACTTTGATTTTTTGGGGGGTGTAAATGCGGAAAAGCCCAATACCCCCCTTTAAAGCAAGTATCATAGCTACACTGTCCAGGCGTGTGATTACTTTTGTAAACAACCTGGGGATAAATTGAAAGAGAAGCACACCTCAATGATGCCAACTGGCACTTGATATCCAGCTTAAATTTCATGTTTATGTCTGTATTTGTACATTTTTAAGCCAAACTGCTTTCTTTGACACAAAATCCTAGCTAACAACCTTGGCAGCATTAGCCTGCATTGGCAAACAATACTAAGTATTGTAAAAGTCCCTCTGAAATCCGCTTGAATTGACTGTGAGCAGGAACATAGTATTTTTTCAGCCAATACTCTACTTGTAAGATCTTGGCCCCTGTGGACACAGTTGACACTGAAGCTTGTTGGAACGTCTATTGAGTGGTTTATTTAGGAGGCCTCCAGCCTCCTCACACAGAACTTTTTTATCCAGAGTGTGTTCACATGTACCATTGGCGGACAATCAGTCATTTTTGATGCAATCGTAAAGTATTCAGTTTTGTTCCTGTGTCATCCTCAAACACAGAGTGACTGACTTGATATTCTGTTAAACAAAGTGTGCCTCTTTTATGTGCTATCCTGCACAGGGGCGTCATGCCAGCCATTCCTTTTTTAAAGAGAGTAAGGGATGGGGGTCCTGCCCAGAAACAGGGATTCCTCAGTATTTTGAAACAGTTATTAAAAAAGACATTATTTTGGCTTGTGTGATCATAATCACCAAATTTTTATGACTTTTCATTACTAGCTAGGCAATTCTTCTCTCACATTTTATTCAAACTACTGTTGTAGTTAACTGTTTCATCAGTTCATGATAAGCATCACATTGTGACCTTCGTGATGATCACCATCAGGCTGTTTTATGTTGAGGCCTGCTTGAGACGGTTTACCATGGTGCCAGATAAACCAGACGTATTTCAATTCATTATGTAAGACGACTACATAGACACCCCGCACAAGTACTTTCATAAATAACGAAGATGGCAGCATCTAACAATGGAAGACCTGTCAAATCTGCTATGGTGGCCATATTCAATAAACCTCTAGTTGCACCTTACGTTATTATACGAATTTAAAACCGAATTGCTCTCAGTATTTCAGAGATTTTCTCCACTTCCTGGAACCACCACTTGCGCAGTAACATTGTACGCATTTGGCATGAGAGTTGCTGTGATGGCACGCGGCTCAGATAGCATACCCCCTGGGTGAGCTACGCAATCTTTGTACGCCCATAGCCTGAATCAAGTGTCAATCATAGAAATCATGAACCCCCTAATAACTTTTAAAAATGGAGCTGCACAGAAAAAAGAGGACTTGAGCACAAACCAGTCTTACAGTAACTACATGTCAACATTGCAACCGGGGGGGGGATTCTCTATAAAAAATTTTCTAAAGTTTCTCCACAGCTCCATAGGGATTGCTGGAGGAGGCGGGATTTATGACCTATACTGCAGCCAGTCACCAGAGGGTGCTGTTCTTGCGGTGGCTTCACCCAGCGACGGCTTCTATTCTACATACAGTCTATGTGTCTCACTAATAGGGATTAAGCCACACCTATAAATATGCCAAATTTTTATTACCTCCGCCAAGGAGGTTATGTTTTCGGTAGCGTTGGTTTGTTTGTTTGTTTGTTTGTTTGTCTGTGAACAACTTTACGGAGGAAGTATCAGACGGATTGTCCTGAAATTTTCACCAGAGGTGCGTCTCAGCCCCAGGAGGATCCCATTACATTTTGGCGGTGATCCGGATCACCTTCTGGATCCAGGAATTTTTTGAAGGATTCTTTATCATTGTGAGATAGGGCAAATTTTGGAATTTTTGTATTTAACTCTATAAAAATGTCCAGAGTCTTTAGTAAAAAATTACACAAAAGGATCTCAATGAGTTTTATGAGGTGTCAAAGGTTGATCCTGATCCAGACAAAATTCTGGATACTGTGATCCAGAACACACAAAAATAAGGGTGTCGTTGGGATTTTCAATGCTGAAAGATAACCAATGGGCGGCACAGTGGTGTAGATGGGCGGCACAGTGGTGTAGTGGTTGGCACTGTCGCCTCACAGTAAGAAGGTTCTGGGTTCGAATCTGGGTCAGGGCATTTCTTGTTTTAGGAACATTACGAACAGTGAACATACCAGTTTAAACACAAATAAAAGTTAATAAAAGACACGTAACAGTAAAAGTTTTGGTGTGAATCACAATATAAGGGGGGACATGAGCTGCTTGGCGGAGGTCTGTGATCTCCGAGTGCTTTTCTAGTTCTAAACTAATTTTAATCCTTTCTGTCTTAAAATAAGACTTAGAGGCAAAGTAGACTACTTGTGTTTTAACTATTTGTATTTACAGGATACCATGAAAATTATGGTTCAAATATAGAATGGTGGTATTGTAAAAAAAATACAAAAAAGTAGGGAATGATACTCACACACTTGCTGAAACCACTTTGCCTCACTCAGGAGTCTATTTTCTGTCACTCAGTGTTCATACCAGTACTAATCAGATATCTGTGGGAACAGACTCCTGTCTCAAGGTCCAGAAGTTTTTTATACATTACTACAAGCACTAAAAGTGCTCAACCAAGCAGTTCGATCGCTCATCTAAATTCCTTTTCATCTTGTTTTTACTCCCAGCCTGGCTGCCATGCCTTGGTATATGAAGTGTAGGTTGTGTGTCAAATTACAGCATTATTCTGGATGACTTTACCCTTTTTATCTGTACAGCCAGTGTCAGCAGTGTCTTTTTTTTCTCTCTGCACAGTCATTCAATGAAAATAAAGGCCATACATAGAAATTCCTGTGGTCAGCAGCAGCGTTCAGGATTGATCTAAGGCAGTGTAGGTTGCTGAAAGTTTTTTATATCCGATTACACCAGGGTCCTTTGACAATTTTAGAGCTGTGGGCTTAGTTACTCTCCAGCATTGATTGGCCTGTTGTCTACAATTTGAATAGTATATGTGATGTGCAGGTGGTATTTTGTCAGTGCAATGAGACAACACTCCCCTGAGACTGATGATAAATTATGAAAAGAAAAAAAACATGTCAAATACAAAATTATGATTGATCATAGAAGTTGATCCCCTCAATGTGATTAATCATGTGTTAATCGCATATAAAAAGTTTTATTTTTACATTTTAAAGCAATTGTCTCAGTGTCTCAATTTAGGAATAATTTTATACCTTGATTGCATTGGTCAAATGCAAGACTTGGACGCTGATAGCTTATTTGTAGCCGCTCTTTAGTGGACTGAAAACCTATGCAGAATTACTGTATGCTTTTGCATGTGGTTAGCAACTTGCATTTCAGATGCATGAACAAAATGATTGTGAACAAAAACAATTGAGAGGCTTCATTCACCCCTACTAGGCTCGAAAGACAGATTTTCTTACTTTGTTTTGGGTCCTTCTCACCGTGTTGGATTTTAATTTTACAAAACCACCCGCTCATGAAACATACTTCTTGCATACCTGATGCCTTTTTGCTGATTTTAATTGTTGTTGATTTCGCTTTTATAAATATATTTGTTTGGCCTGCATATTCTTTGAGTCTTTTACCTGATAATTATTAAATTTCTGTTAATTTTATAAAGGGGATGCCAACATTTGCTCTGAGAAAGTTAATGGACTTAATCAGGGAAATCACTAATTACTCAATATTAGTTCTGTCTAAATACAACAGATTTTTACAGTCTAATCTGCTGATATCTTAAGATCATTAAAATTATTTTTTCTTGTCTTCTGCCTCTCTTAGAAATAGAAACTTTTGTGTCTTTCAGAACCCACAAAATATCTTGTACTTTGACTAGAATTAAGTCTCTTTTTAAAAAAATAAAATAAAATAAAAAGATAGTCTCTAACCAAATCCTGTGTTTAGTTATTGCCTGCTCAATGCAGCGTTGTCATATCATCTTTGCTGATCTGTAAAAAGAAACCTGGGAAAAACACATTTTTAAGAAGGAGAGACTTTCCAGCAGAACTCTTATCATCTATTTCATTTCAAACTACTTTACCGGTGGCATCAAGGTCCTCCCTTGATGATTATATATTTTTATTACAATTAGAAACTTCATAACGTAACATGAGTTCAATATTTGGGGTTCATGTAAGTTTTATTACTTATTCCATATGCAAATGAGGAACATCAAGGAGTGGCAAGATGTTAATGGTCCATGATTGACGTCCAGCAGGAATATGAAGTATGAAGCCATCGGATTTGTAGGCCTTATCCCAGATGCTAACTTTTTCCAGGTGTGAATTCATGTGATTTTCGGTAGATATCACATATACTGACACACACACACCCACACTACACACAAAACATTCCCTTTACATCCTGTCAGGGTTTCTCATTGATAATATATGGGTGCTTAGAGGACAAGCTGGGCTAGGCTTATTTATGAGAGAAATAAAGTGCTGTGTAAACTCTTACCACAGTTTTTTTTTTTCTTTTTTCTGTGTGTGTGTGTGTGTGTGTGTACTTCCTCGTAAACTGCTAACAGAGCATTCAGAGAACAAGTGCTAATGGCCTAAACTCAAGTTAAACTCCAAGTGTTCCTTCTTTCTTTCTCTTTGTTTATACTTAGGAAAAACTTCTTCTGACTCGTGTTTTATTGCAAACATGTAATGTAGTTTCACATAACAACATCAGTCATCAGTCTGGTAACTGGGTACAACCAGTAAATGTTTTATTCATTTGTTTATTTTTATTTTATCTTTGTTTAGCAGGTTACTCCCACTGAAATCAGATATCTCTTTTTCAAGGGAGACCTGAGATCAGTTTGAACTTTGGAGACAACAAATGCACAATGTCCAGTGAATGAATGCTGTGACTTCCATCCTTCATGGTCAAAAGAGAGGAAAGGCAGTCTGATAATTTGCCCAGAGTAGCTTTATAAATAAAGATTTACGAGTAACCAAGCCTGTATGTACTTGAAGCAGTCCAGTTGACTTTAGAATATAAAGTTTAATGATGGGTAGGAAAGCAACAATTTGTAATAGATTTCAATGCACCATGATGCACGTTGTCAAAATGTGAAGACTAAGCACAGGCATTTATGAACAACACATCACCATAATCAAGAAAAAGTTTAAAAAAGTGGACTCCTCTGATATATTATTATTTTTTTTCATAAAAAGCAAAGCAGGACTTGTTCCTGTCATAAAAACCTGAGCTAAACCTTCAGCTTTTTGGTACTAGAACAATTCACAGTTGGCAAAGTTGATCTTGTACTTAATCGAATGCATGCCAAAGATTTAACAAAGCTTAAGTAGGCCAAGGTGCACTGCAATAAATCAAAGTGTCATCAGCATATACATTACAGGCCAAAAGTTTGGAAGCAAGGCCATTACAGACCGAACAGTTGGGAGTAACTTCAAGTTTTTGTTCACAATGCTTTTTTTAAAATCCAGCATGAGTTTTATGTATTTTGGGATGTATTTACTCCATGATCAGATGTTGCTTTCATGGAAATGCACCATTTTACTCCATTTACCTTTAGATATACATTGATGTTAACAGACCATTGCTAAATATATGTCAGCAAAAGAAAATAAGGGCTTAGTTTTAGGGTTGAAAACATTTGCAAGAGTCACAACTTCAGTGCAAAAGCAAAAAAAAAAATCACAGTTGGATTATTGACTTCAACTTTTTGGCTTTTGAGAGTCTGCAAACAAAAATCCTAATAAATCTCAACTGCGTTCAAACTCTCGCAAAAATGGCTAGAAAGAAGCAACTGAGTAAAGAAACAAAAGTACAGATTTGTACATTGAGGAAAGAAGGATACACAGAAAGAGAAATTACAAAACACCTAAAGGTGTTTAACAAAGGAGTCCACTACCCTCCGAAGAGACTAGAGGAACCTGAAAGTTGTGATGATAGAAAAAGACCTGGATGAAAGAGTTACTACAAAAGCAGAGGATAAACATAGCATTGTCCCCAGTAAGAGAGATCGGTGAAAAACAGCACCACAAATAAGGGAGGAAATCAACATGACAAGATCAAAACCCATATCTCTGACAACCGTGAAATGACGTTTGAGAAAGGCTGGTCTAAAGGGTTGTGTATCTGCAAAAAAACACTACTTCATCCACAGAACAAGAAAAAGAGATAAGAGTTGGCAAAAGCTCACAAAAATTTGACTTATGATGACTAGAAACAAGTTTGCACTGTTTGGTTCAAAACGCAGAGTCTATGTCTGCAGACAAACTGGTGAACGTCTGAAAGCTCCATGTGTTACACCCACAATTCAGCATGGAGGTGGTAGTTCCATGGTATGGGGATGTTTTGCAGGTGATGGAGTAGGAGATTTGTTTGAAGTAAAGGGTATCATGAAGAAGGAACAGTACCACTCCATCCTCCAGCACCATGCTGTTCCATCTGGACTCAGACTTGTGGCTCATAAGTTTGTTTTGCAGCAAGACAATGACCCTAAGCACTCTGCCAAGCTCTGTCGGGGTTACCTAGACAAAAAAGAAGAGGAAGGTGTTCTTCAAAAGATGGTTTGGCCCCCTCAGTCTTCAGACCTTTCTCCAATTGAGCTTGTGCGGGATGAATTGGATTGATCAGTCAGAAAAACGCGTCCCACGAATCAGCAGTCTCTTTTTAATGAACTTAAGAAAGCTTGGAATGCAATCCCTGGAACATACCTTAAAAAAGTTGTGGAACGAATGCCAAGCTGTTGTTAAAGCCAGAGGAGGTTACTTTAAAGAAAGCAAAGTCTAAGCAACAATAACTCAAATACCTAATAATAATAGTCAAAATGTCTTCTGATAAGTTACTTTTTACACAATAGTCATGTTTATTGTGTTGCAAATTATATATATGAAACTATGATCTTTTTTTGTACACATCTGATCTTGCTTCCAAACTTTTGGCCTGTAGTGTAAGTGAAAAGCAGCATTTGGGACATTCTGTCCAAGACAGTTTAGGTCAATATTAAGAAGTTGTGAGCCCAGAAATGATCCCTGTAGTACCCATAGACTGTATATAGTATAGACACATGGCTCTGCCTCCCATCACCATACAAATTTGAAGCCAGATTGATTTCAGTATTTCCGGGATTTTCTCAGTTTCCTGGAACCACCAATTGTGCAGTAGTGTTCGGTGGGAGATTCGCTGTGATGATGCTCGACTCAAACAGCGTATTCCCCGGTTGAGCTAAGCAATCTTCGTACATCCATAGGCTGTATCAACTGTCAATCATAGAAAACATGAACCCTCTAATAACTTTTAAAAATGGAGCTGTACAGAAAAAAAGAGGACTTGAGCACAAACCAGTCTTACAGTAACTACATGTCAACATCACAAGCAGGGGGAGAAAAATGTATATTTTGTGTAATTAATTTCTAAAGTTTTTCCATAGCTTTATTAAGTTTGCAGGAGGAGGTGGGGTTTATGACCTATGCTGCAGCTCCCCTGGTGAACCTCCCTATATCATTCCAACATGTAGCTTTTTCTCTGCATTTTCACCTACTGGGAACAGGGCCATGTCTGTGTGTCGCATGGTCTTGCAATAAGCCTTATGTTTGCGAGTCTCCTGTAGGTAGCAGGCCCCTGGGGAGGTTTAGTCCTGATTATGGGCAGCTATTTCTGCTCTACAGGCTCAGTCTGCAGAGTGCATTTGAGCTAAGGGCAAGTAAGGATGAGAGAGAAAAGCTGGGGGTAAGGAGAGGAGAAAAGCATCTTACCTGGCTTACCTGTACCTCCAGTCCAATATGAAAACACACAGTCAGTAAGGATCTCATCATGGACCCACTAAATCCAACTTAATTGACTGCAAATCTGGGTACAGCACTCCTCAGCCTTGCACACCAGTGTCGCACACTCCCAACTCCCCAACTCCCCGCACCTGCACTAAAGACTTAATCTCTCCTCTTTTTTTCTCTAGATGTGCGTATGTTTTTGTTTTTCTTTGTAGTTTTCTGTCATTTCGATCACAACCTTTTGTTTTCAGCATGTTTATGGGTCTTTTGACTCACATCCCCATTCCCTCTATGAGGAAAACAGGAAGTCAATAAGGAGTATGAATAACACGTTTAAGGGTTTTATCCGTAAGATTTATCTGGATGTAGGTATGGGTATTTCTTGTGTGTGTGTGTGTGTGTGTGTGTGTGTGTGTGTGTGTGTGTGTGTGTGTGTGTGTGTGTGTGTGTGTGTGTGTGTGTGTGTTTCTGGTGCATGTGGATCTCTGTGTAAATGAGTACCGGTTGTGTTTTGATGGAGAGAGCAATTCATTAATATTCATGAGGAGAGAAAAACAACTCAACACTTGACTCTGCCCTCACAGGAAAGACTGACAACTAGTGTGTGTTTGCGTGTGTGCGTGTGGCCACTTCTTTGTGTTAAGCTGCTGGGAGTTTTTCTACTCATAAAACATATACATTGACAAACCAAAGGGTTTTGTAATGAAGCAAGTTTAACATCTTTTCTGTGTTTAATAAGCTGGTTTTCAACGTCAAACAAGTGCTGTAAGCATATACATACAAATAGGGCAGAGTTAGCAACACATGACCAACTACAAACATATGTAAGAAGAAAAACGGATAATGATCTGCTGTTAGATGATTCAGACTGAAATCATTACAGCTGCACCAAGGAAGAAGTGGCAAACATGGAAAAAAATGCAGCAAGGTTTACAGTGGTCTGTAATTTTTCTATTGTTTAATGGTTTGACTTTAACTCCTGTTTATTCCCTTGGTCTTATTTGTTTCACTGAATTACCCTTTTAAAATGTACAACAGTTTTAGATGTAATATCTCAACTGCAGATCTAACAGTAGCAAACACAGCAATTTGAAGACAATAAAAATGACTGAAAACATAATCAGAGCTAGAAGCACAGGCAAATTTACAACTAAAACTACAACAACTTCAAGGCTCTGGTGTTGGCCTATTTCAGTCTCTCTTGAAGGATGATGTCAGAAAAGGATCATTTGTGACTTTTGTTAGGTTTGATAAGATTTGAAAATCTTACAGGAGGACCAAGTGTTTGACAACCCCCCTCACGCTCTCTGAACCACCCCCTCTTGATTGAATCTCAGAGCTTTATAATCATTGGTGATCTTTACCACTTAAAATACATTTTTAGCCTTAAACTGAGTCAGCCCTGAAGTTAACAGACCCAATATATGAACTAATCTTTATCAGTATTATTGTGTTTCAATGATAATAGATTATCTGGTTTATTCTACAGCAGATTCAATGGACCCTCCAGTGGCAGAAGCTGCTATCTCTGCTGTGTACAAATATTTCTAAGTGGTGCACCCGTGTTGTCACCTTAAACATAGGACTGTGTCTGGCTCAGTTCATCTGCTACTGATGGGAAAACATTGACAATGACTCTGGCTCCAGACCTGTCAGCCAGTGAAGAAGAATAAGAGCTGGCTGACAGGTCTGGCACATCAAGACTGCTGCATTAACTCCCTACAATCAAGGTAAGAAAGGTATTCACAGCTACAGTTGGATTCAGGGTGGTCCTTAGCAGCAGGCCATCTTCAGCAACAACCCAGGAGTACCCACAAGACAAGGGAGTCCAAGAACCTCTAGGGATTTCTTTAGTTAGCTTTAATGGGAAAGAAAGATCTAACCCCCAATTTCCACTGCACCTGGAATGGCTCCACTGTGGAACGGTGGCAATATTCACTGTCCGCCAATTCCTACCACATGCATTTGTGAGGTGAACTTCATGGTGGATTTCAGACAGCAGCATGTCCGAACTATTCCACAAAGGGCCGGTGGGGCTGCAGGTTTTTCTTCCAACCAAGCAGCAGCACACCAGACTTGATTCATTTTCATCTGATCTCAGTCTGTAGACAGCTGATTGGTCAGACTGCGTGCTCTTGATTGGTTGGAAGAAAAACCTGCAGCCACATCGGCCCTTTGTGGAATAGTTTGGACATGCCTGTTCTAGAGGAAGAAAGTCCACTTCTAGAATCAGCATCTCCTCATTCATGGTGTCAACAGGGTGAAATTAAGTCTAAAAACCTTTGACTTGATGGTCCCAGCCCATGTTTGCATGGTGTGAAATACGATCTGCCCGAAACACATTGTATTTTATTTGAAAAGAAGCCAGATATTTTATTTTGTGTCTGTGCCCAACTGCCTTTCCAGCACGGGCTAATCTGTGCTGCATGCTGCATCATCTGAAAAAAATTAAACCCTGGGGATTGATTGCAGAGCCTGCTGAACACATTAACACATTAACTTGAATGGAAACGCTCAGTTGTGATTGGCTCCGCCATTCTGCAGCGGAGCCATTCTGGACGCGGTGGAAATTGGGGGTAAAGTCAGTGACATGCAGACAAATAGAGGACAGAGAGGACAAACAGAAGCTTAGCATGGCATTTCTCTTAGCAATCTAAGCCTACAGAATAACTAAGAACTGGTCCAAGCCCGAGTCAGCCCTAACTAAAAGCTTTATCAGAGCATATAGTTTAAAGCCTACTTTTGCCTGCTGGACTCAGACTGGTATGTAATTCCAAAGGACATGGCTCTGAAAACTGAAGGCTCTGTGTCTTGTACTACTTTTGGAGGCTTCTTAGAGTTCACTTGTTGCTATGGATTGTATCCTGACATGTTTGCTAATCCATTTTTGACTTTTTTTGCATTCAAACCCAAAAGTGTGGACTACAGGGTATTTGTAGGATGGAGCATCAGTTTGTGGCTCTACCGTTATTTTTGTCAGGTTTGTTTATGTTCATTTTGGCCCAATGTTAGAGCTGTCAATCAAAGGCTGTCAATGTAGACTAATCAATGAAGGTGATTCAGTCTGCTTCTCCTGAAACTTCTGGTGGGTGTGCCTTTCAGAATTCAAAAACTCGACTCTATCAGGAAATGTCAAGTTCACACTGATTTCTCAATGTTCATGGTATCACATATAAATGCAGCCAACGCTTTGTCAGTCCCATATGAGTGGTGTCACACTTACTGTGTCAAGGCAAAAGGACAAGCTGGATTTCATGTTACCTGCTCCTCTTTTACCCTTTTCACATGATTTCTTTTTTCCCCGGTTGTCACTTTGTCTCCTATCGGCCAGGTGTGTGTGTGCATGTGCGCTGGAGTGTGTCAAGGACGAACAGAGGACACGTGGTCCACAGCTGCACAGTATGAACCTTCCACGGAGACAGGTGGAAGATCGGAAGAGTGCAGCTGTCCACAGACACTACACCTTTCACTCAGTAGGCACACACTTAAATGTGGAGGAAAAGAAGATACAGCACATTTCTGCACTCTGGTTAAGTTTCAGGAAGTGTGTTTGTGTTTAAGTGTGTATGAGTAAGCATTCATTAGTCATGCAGGCAGTGTGGGTCAGCTGTCAGTGAGTTGTTGACATCCCAGTGTCAAGGGGCAGTGATGGAAAGCTCATACACACAAACAAGCACACACACACATACACTCCATACTCACACACGCTCACACACACACACACACACACACACACACACACACACACACACACACACACACACACACACACACACACACGTATATATATAAAACAGCTCTGCACTACAAGTATGTTCAGATATCACATGTCAGACAGACTTCTAAAGGGTAGATGTAAAACCTCATGGGACAGACACGAGACAGTATGTCGTACTGCGAATCACCATGAATATCAGTTTGTCTGCCACTGTCAGCTGTGAAGGAACCATTTTTGTTCTACATCTGGCAGGATTGTACTCAGCAGCAAATGTTTTTGGGATGTGAGGATGAGAATGTGGTGGTGGTTCTGTGGGCTGTGGTTTTTTGGCACTGGGATTACTGCTGTGGTTTTCCCAGGGTGCAGGATGTGCCACACTGGTAGGACTGAGAGCAAAGTGAGCAAGTTACTGGTGACAGGTCTGAGGAGCTGAGATGCTGTTAGGTCCCAGGGCTTTGCCTGGCTTAATGTGGTGCCATTTGCGGCTTTAGTGACATCACCTACTGAGGAGGCTATATGAAACCCAAAGACGGTGTCCCCAATTCAGAACTACTTACTGAGGTCTTTTCTAGCTAATCACCTCCATGGATACATTTACTGGCTGAGGTGGCAGTAGCTTAGGTGGTAGAGCAGTTGTTCGATAACTGGAGGGTTGGCAGTTCAATTCCCCCCTATCCCTAGTCTGTCTGTTGTGTCCTTGGGCAAGATACTTAACCCACCTTGCTCCCAGTGTGTGTCCTCCACTGGTGTATGATTGTGAGTGTTGTGGGGTGGTGGTCAGAGAGGCTGTAGACGCAAACTGGCAGCCACCTTTCTGTCAGTCTGGCCCAGGGCAGCTGTGACTACCAAGGTAGTTTATCACCACCAGGGTGTGACTGAGTGAGCGAATGACTGATGTATCCAATGTAAAGCACTTTGAGGTCACTGACAAAAAGCACCATAAAAATCTGATGCATTATTTATTTATTTAGTGTTTGGATATTCCTAATGCTAACATCTTCATCTCTTATTTGGCAAGGATACCAGTAAAAAATCCCTCAAGACATGGAATCAATCCTCCAGAAACCACAGTTTTATCTCATTTCACACATCTTGGGCCTCAGAAACAAGGCTTGTCAAAAGTATAGGTACTGGGAGACCACATGAGAAACTTTCAACACCAAAAGGCTTGTCATCAATATTACATATGATATTGATGCTGCAATGCTACAAGACAGAAAACACAGACATACAAAAAGATGTCAAATCCAAGGCAACAATGATCCAGAAAACAAGGCTGGTCGAGCCACTGTGAGATAACAGAGCGAATGTTAGAAAGACAGATCAGAGAAACACAGAGATAAAGATGTATAATTCTAATTTCTTAACAGCTCTTTATGCCCTGAAGATCTAATTAACACTCCTACACCTCTGTAAAACTCTGCAGGTAGGTGCAGATGTCCTGTAGACAGCCATAGTTGCATTGTCTTCTACCTGCTGTGTGGAGCCTTTCAGCTTTTCTGCCACGCACACCTGTCGTTGAAAAATACACATACTTGCCCTTGAAATACTGAGTATGTAATCTCTGTTACTATTTTAAAGGGTTATTTGGGCGTAAATTTAAGTTATGGTCTAACACAACATAACACCAAGCTTTACATTCGGTTTATTTACAGAGGTTCATTCCGCTCCTGCATGTTGCATATTTACAGATCCCTGAGAATAAGCACACATTATAAAGATTATTTATGCAAGAAAAGTATTGCTGCTGAATGTAAAATATGGATTTTGTAAAAGATTTACATATGTGTTGACTGTCACACTATCAAAAGTGGCTAAATTTTGAATTTAGTGGGTAATTTTCAGTGTGGCAAGTGTCATGCAGGGCAACTACTCACAGACAGACAGACAGACAGACAGACAGACAGATAGATAGATAGACATGTTGTTTCTTTCCGTAAGTTTTTTTTATTTAATTCTCTACTGTTAATTAACATGAAGAGGTGAGAAGTTGACAGAAGACAGTGAGAGGAAGAAGAAGAGTGAACTCAGTGGGTGAAGCTGGCTTCAATGTTTTTCCTGCTGCCAAATCACACATTTCTCTCTCCTCCGCCATCGTTCTGTTTCTTTTTAATCCAGCCCCCTGTCTTTCCTCCTGCTCTCACTTCCTCTTTCCAAAATGATCATACTATACCTTGCCACTGATTCAATCCTTCTTTCTGTTTTCCATCATCTCCATGATTTGTTCATTCATTCATCTTCGTTGCTATGTCTCCTCAAATTCTTCCAAAATGATCTGTAGTTTCTATTTGATTTCCATCACACCTCTTCATCACACGTCTTTTTACTTTTTCTTCCCCTTTCGTTTACTTGGCATTACCATTTTTGTTTTTTGCTTTGACACAAGCGCTGTTTTGGTGAGGAGGCAAGGCAGGACAGACTGACAGAAAATGAAAGAAAATATCTTCCTTGGGTTTGCTTATCCTGATAATTACTCATTACTCTTTTCCTGAGGGCAAGGAAATGGACAGAGAAGATACTGCAGCAGAGAAAAAAAAAAAACAGGACAGTAAAAATGTATGATCATTAAGAGGTAAAACTTTGTAACTCTCACCTTTATCACCTAGATAACTTTTTTATATTATTTGAATTTTATTTACAGGCCTTCGTGTCTTCATTAGGTAGGATAAGGATATAGCAGGAACTACAAAAGAGCTTAGGAAATGACATACAAAAGCCAAAGATTGGAAACAAACCTGAACTATCTGCTTGTAGCATAACCTATGATGATTTGAGAAAAACATTTTTTGTTATTCAACCTGAAATGAAGTCTCCAAAACAAAAAAAATATTCCACAAGTTCAAGCAAAGTTAAAAGTGAAGAAGATATATTGACTTGTCTTAAACTTTTGTAGGAAAAAACTGTCTGTGCTTTTGGATTTACAGAGCATGAACCCAACCAATTATATTATCTTGTGTTTTGCCTACACACGACCCCTCCATCTGCCAACGGACGAATGGGATAACTAAGTGTGATGCTGTTGTATAAGTTGTTGTCCCTTTTAGATGATTGTTGTAACAGAATAGTTAACTTTTTTGATTGTAGTAAAATATAACAAAGTCAAGTCATGAGCAAAACCAAGATATTTTGAAATAATAATCAAAGAAATAGAAAAACAGAGAGCCATAAACAGAGCCCTGAGGTACTCCATGGATCACCATTTAGTATAAGATCTGATGCAGAATTGAGCAAAATACCTGAACAAAGGAAGCCCAGGCAAGATTTGTCTCGAAATAGTCTAAGAGGATCTATGGCCAGAATCAACAGCTATCAGCCTACAGGATAAATCAGGCTCACCAAACATGAAATGTGGTCTCAGAAATCATTTTTGATCATGAATTTAAGAGTTGAATGATTACACCACAGAACAACTTAATGAGAAGGGCTGCAGACATCAAACAGCGCCTGGTGCTGAAACAAAGTGTTCTCAGAGAGTATTTGTGCCAAATTTCATGCTTGCATCATCATTTGAACAATTCTCTTGAATTATGCAATTATCTGCTGCACTATCAGACATGTTGCTCTGGATCTGTTGGCTCTCTGTAATTTGTCCTCTCCTTCTGCAAAGATGGAGTCAGCTGCTGGGGAAGTTCTTGAAATTGTCCTAGGGTCATTCTTAAGTATTGTCGGGATTTCTCAGGGTACAATCTGAGCTCCTGGATCGTCGTGTGGAACTCCCCCATCATTTTGATTCTTCTTTTTCTTTTTGTTATTTAATAGGCTTACAACATGACCAGGTCATCATTACTTGAGGATGTGGTCACCATTGTTTCTCCTTCTTCTATCTCCCCCTCTGTTCCCCTGTGGCACCACAGACCATATTTTTATGCAAATATGCAAATTTTCTTCATGTTGCACCAGGTGTGTATAGGAAAAGGCATAAGCCAAATATTTCTGGTCGCTTTGCTAATTCACCGGTGTGTAATAACCTTTATACTATAAACTAAACCATCACATTAAATCTGAATTGAAAGAATCTTTCCAAATATGACTAGGTGCTGAAGAAGTTTTGTTTTCAAAGATACAGATGAGGGACATTTAGGCCTCTTTCTCTGCTCTCTGATCAATGAAACGTTCATAAAGTCAAACCACATGTGACTCACTTGTGAGTAGATTTTGAGTATTGAAACTGTTCTCCCTTAAATTAACTAGGCGCACCACACTCTCACTATCTGAAAATAACTTATGTTCAGGTCCGACACACGGGAGCTACAGCTCAGTTCAGTTCAAGGTTAAAGAATTGAAAAGCAAAGTTAATATCAGCCCATTATACAGATATCACAGCCTCCTCCTGCATTATTTTACGTGTATCTTGTCCTCTGAAAGCCTTCTGACACAGAGACATGCATGTTTGAACACACACATGCTGCCAGTTCTCTGACACATACTGGCATAAATATACACACGTAAGCAAGGACGCAAAAAGGTGGACGCATATTCATACTCACATACCCTTCAACTCTGTACCTTCCCGCCCCTGTCAGGTCAACCTTTAATGATGCTGAAAGAAGACAGAAAGACAGAGGGAGTGAATGTGAAATGGTGTGAAATGAAATATTGCATCTCCAAATGAAGTTAAGGTCATCCATTTTTAGGCAGTAGAAGAGGGATCAAGGGGACGTGTAGTGGGAAAGGCGAGGGGGGTGGGGCATAAATTGTGAATGCAGCATGTTTTTAAAGAGAGAAATTTGCATAATTTTTGGCAGATGATTGACAGGAGAGGGCGTGGAGGGAAAGGAGAACAGGGAGCGAGGAGGAGGCAAACATGAAGGAAGGAGGAATGAGAGATGCTGAGACTTTGTAAACAGCTCAATATTTCATAGTTGGGATTTCTGTAGGACACCAAACTGCAGAAGTGAGAATATTAAACCTGTAGCTCCACAAACACTGATGAGGAGTCTCTACTCGTGGTACCTACTAATGTAGGGGAACCAAAAAACCTCACACTCAGGATGATTTAGGCCAATATGTTGACTTCTGGGTTTGTTTCAAGGTAGGCCTTTGTCAAATACCGATTGGGAAGTATTTTAAACATAGAAAAGGTGATTGACTAAATTCAAGAAATGTGCTTGATGAATATTTATGTAGAAGGGCAAGTTTGCTACGTTAAATGTTAAAGCAGCTGTTTTAAGTTGAAAAATAATATAATTTACAGAGTATTATGAATGCCTTGTAAGTCTTAAAGGCATGGTTGAAGGCATTGGAGAAATTGGTAATTATTATGAACTTTGTTTATATGGCGATCATGGTCCTATAGTGCGATCTCCACAAAGTAAAGAGAAAAAAGACCGAAAAAATCCGTTCACCCTAGCAGGTGCGGCCCTCCTTGGAGTTCTGACTGGCTAAAAGTGGCGTAGCAGCTTAGCTATAGGAGCTGTGATGGAGAAGGATGAATAAAAGCACTTCTGCTTGCCCCACTGCCAAAAGTGGGAAGAAAACGCAAGCCGACAGAAGAAAGGGCAGAGACGAAGAGGAAATGTGACCAAGCGAGGAATCAAACTCGAATAAACATCGGGTTATCCTTCGGGCGGCGGAGAAAGCTCTGCCAGGACTTGAGCCTGAAAACAGACGCCGAGACAGCAGAGTTTTTGTTGAACAGGTCATTTTTGCCTTTTACCGTGGTACAAGTTACATTAATAACTCTTATTAGTCTCTGCAATGTCAACACAGTATCTGTCCAGGCAGCTGCAGACGGTGCTCGCTAGCAGAGCTGGCGTTTACAGTCACTAGCAATCCGACATGGTGAATCCTATTTGAAGCTAGCGTAGGATCTTCTGCTGGCCTTTGCCAGATCTTCTTGCTCCGCCAGAGGGGGTGTGTCGTGGGGAGGGCAATACAGGTTCGGGGGGAGTTCTCGTGGAGCACAGAGGGGAGAGGTTTGTGTGTGGGGGGTGGGAAGCTTTTTTATAAATCTGCCTCAACGGCTCAGTTTTTTTAACTGCTTCTCCAATCGTCAACCATGCCTTTAAATTTGAAAGATACTTCAGGTTTTCTCCTGCCACTGCACAGCGGTTTGATAACAGTGGTTACGTCTCACATGCCACATCCCAATTTGAATAAATGTTAGATTCTCAGCCCACAAGACAAAGGCAGTAATGAAGCATAGCATTTTCTTTGGGCCTGAATGTCTCATGTCTCCTTGTTTGAAAGTTAAAGTGTTGGTGGAGGAGGCTTGAGTAATGGACTGGTCATCAGTCTGCAGTCTACACTAACCTTCCACATTTTCTCTGAGGACATGTCTACTCTGTAACACAGTTGCTGGACATAAATGAAAGGCTAATGTCCTTCATTTCTGTAATAGCAGTTTCACAAACTTCTACTCCTCTCACAAAATTAAAGTTTGATTCTTTCTGGGGAACATAACATTCAGAAGCCTGATAAATTACAATTATCACATTATGCTTCACATATTTTGTCACTCCATACAACCTCAAATTTCCATATTGGTCTCTTCTAATTTACAGACTACTAGCTGTAGCCAAAACTTAGCCTGAGCAAATAGTTGAATTTCAAGATTAAATACTGTGCTCCCTGCCTTGTCGTGCTCCTTTTGCTTTTTTAGGTGAATGAAGCACACCCTTGTTTGCCTTTACAACAGTGTGACCCTCACCCGAAAGCTTTTATCTAAACTCCATTGCCTTGAGCTGACATCAATGTGAAACAAAGTTGGTGAGTGCAAGGGAGCTGTAGATGCTGCTATAGTAAAGCTTAGTGCAAATGCAACCAAGACGCTTTCCAGACATTTTACGAACCCAGTATTCAAAGGGGGAAGGGCTTTTTACCCTTTATCATAACAGGTGTAGAGTCTCTGAATTTGACCATCGCTGTCTGAAGTGAGAGGAGAGTGGTGGTAGAATAGAGGCTGATAGGACACATTTTTAAAAGGCAGGACTAAGCAAGTTATTCGATCTTTCTTTAAAAGTTTGTGCTGAGAACAGACAATTTCAGCAACATGTCTGGTGGGTGATCAGAAAATGAGAACAAACTCCTCAAAGCAGAGCATTTATATTCAAAGTAGAACAAAGAATATGAAGTAGTCCTTGGTGGGTAGACAGTTTTAAATCCACATCAAACAATGGTTTGAAGCAAAAAGGTCATATTGCTGGATCAATTTCTATATGGTGATGCTTATACACTTGATGTTTGCAAGTGCTTGACACACAGGTGGATATTCTGCTGAATGTATCCAATGACTGTCACGAAAAATGTTGATTAGTCTGTAGCTTACGTGTGCCCTGCTGTTAGAGTGTTGTGTCCTTTGCACTGCTATTCTACATGTTTACTTGTATCTTCCAATGACACCAAGCTGCTAAAATTACCTTTTAACACCTCCTGAAATGTGAAATGTGGCAGCAACTTTCAACAGCAACAGCAAGAGCAGAAAAACAATAAGACTGACAGTGTTTTATTTAGTGGGTACCAAAATCAACACAAACTAACACAAACTCTAGCGGAGCCCGGCGTAAGGCGAGTTTGGTATTTTCGTGGACTGAGTCGCACGGAGGCGAGCCGAGATCCGCCAAGCTGGGCGTGGTGGCGTGGCAGGGGGAGGTGTTGACAGAATCAGCTGGCGCAGTGACATTTTCGTGCTCGCCACTGGCGTGTAACGTGCGCTGAAAGCTCGCCGATTCAAACCTGGTCAGCTTTCAGCGCAAGGCGGAACGCAGCTGATCTAGTAGTATTTTGGTAGACCGGCGGCGTATGGACATACGTCACCGATGCCTCACCGGCAGGTTTCCACAGTGTCAGGCACATTTCAGTGCAATAAATAATCATCAACAACTATTAATCTGAGTCAGCACATACATTTAGATCTATATCGATATATTCTGATCTATATCTGATCTGATGAGCGCGTTTGGCACGCGTTTGGCACGCGTTTGGGCACACAACCTGACCGAATCAACACAGCTGAAACTGCATCAAATTAAATTAAATATCTAGTAAATAAACACACATGATGAAGTTAACAAGATATGTAATGTGTCTCCCTCCTTTTCTTTCTTCCTCTTCCTCTTATTTCTCGCACAGCTCGACCTGGACACGTCTCCGTGTCCTCTGTCCGTCTTCCTGCTGCTGCTGCGGCTGAACAGATGATTTGTTTCAGTGCTCAGATGCGTTATCTACTTTAAGCCGACATACGGATATTATAATATTCAGTTTTGTGGGCCAAATTTATTTTATATGCCAACATCTATGAAAGAAAGAGCCAGGCCACGGAGCGCGATGCGTCATTTACGCACAGATGGTTCCGATTTTAATGCCATTTTTGGAGTTTATGTTGTGATCTGTGCGCTAAACCCACCTTTGTCACGTGAGGTTTGAATATATGCAACTTTATGTGAGTGTCTTTATTTGTGGAAAAGGGTGTTTGTCTTACCAGTGGGTCCAACATTACGCACACCAAATCCATCTGTGCTCAGATGAGAGAGTGTGGAGGACACTTGTTGAGCAGCTGCCCTCTGTCGCCATCGTGTGGCATAACTGTCTTCAGACATCTCTTGATCTCTTTGACTACTTCATGAAAATAGTAATACGCCTCGCCGGTGGCGGATTTAAAGGCAAGGAGAGGAGCTTATGTGATTGGTGAAAACAGGTCTCGGCTGTGTTAAACACACTCCACGCCCTCTCTCCTCCCGTCAACGACTTATGCTGCCGGGAGGAGCTGAGTTAGGGAGGGGGGATACTTACGCCGGGCTGCGCGGCTCACCAAAATACCAAAATGTGCTTGGGAACGCCTTGTCAGCGCGGCGGATCTGATTGACGCTGCGCTTGCGGCACGTCTCCGGCGAGGCACCAAAATAGAGCCCTGGGAGTTGAACGTGGACCTGAAGAGGAAACTTATGTTCCATCAAGATGAAGTGGCAACCTACCTCCGATGAGATTTGGTCCTCCTATCCAGGAGCACTAAAACCATCATAGTGATATAGATTGGAAGAACACTTGGATCCTACCAAGGAAATTTCTTATTTCAAATAAAGTACGAGAGGTTTCATTTAAAGTAATGCATAGATGTTATCCTGTCAAGACTAATTTAATCAAATATAAGATTGATATAGAGGCACACTGCTCATTTTGCGGAAACTCAGACGAAACAATATCTCACTTATTTTGGGAGTGCACTAATAGCCATGTCTTTTGGATTGATCTCAATAATTTTATAAATACCAAAATTGACTCTTCAATCAAATTAAATGTTCAACATGTGTTATTTGGACTTTCAAAAAAGGATGTTAGTAATGTAGACAAATTATATATTGTGAATCTTCTTTTAATTCTTGCCAAATATCATATTCATTGCGCTAAATTTGCAAACCATTGTCCAAATGTTATTGTTCTTGAAGCTGTACTATCTTCTTATCTAGAAACTATAAAACATTGTAAAAACACTAAAGCTGTCAAAACTAAAAGAATATGTGATGAATACATTAATGATTTATAACCTCGAGCATTTTCTTTTCTTTTTAGTTTTTCGTTTGAATTGATGCCTATAATACTGTTTTGTGACTACCTTTTGTCCTTTGGTTTGTGTTTGTACTGTTAATATGTGTCAATAAAACAAAAACAAAAACAAAAAAAAAAAACATCATAGTGGCAGAACTTACCGTGCCCTGGAAGGAGATGCTAGCCACGTCCCACCATCTGAAAAAAGCCAAGTACCAGGACCTGATTGACGAAGCAGCTTTAAAACGGTGGCACACAAATATTTTTCCCTTAGAGGTCGGTTGTTGTAGGTTCCCTGCAAAATTGGTGCACTGCTTCCTCCAGAGAATTGGTTTGGAGCCTAAACAGCTGAAGAAAGCCACCAGGGAAATAGCCACGATGGCACATGGGGATGACAAGGGCCCAAAGTTGGAACTCTTCTGCAGGCAAAGGCTAACCAGCCTCCGCAGCCCCACTTAGGTGAGGTGTACAGGTTAAGGGGCGAAACACCTGTGACCCTGAGATACCTGCTGATGATGTAGAAGGGTTCCCAACAAAACAGGCAAGCCAAGAAACGCGAGTAAAGATCCAGCCTGCGTAGTCTGTAGTTGCTGCTTGTAGCATAGCATCTTTGATCTCACAAACACTAAACACGAGTTAACCCAAACTCTACAATCATAGTCACAGAACAAAACCTAAATGAGCAGGAAATCCAAAGCTAGTGCTTCAGACCACAGGTCTTGGTTGCTCTGTGGTGCAGTTATTTCCTGCAACTTCTAGCAATACACCACCTGTAGGCTTGACCACACAATAGTTAAGACCAACACACCGTTTGTTTGCAACTACCCAAGTTGCCGCTGAAAGTGTAATTAATGAGTGTGTCAAGTCCTGCCCCCCCTAATGGGCCTAGTTTAAGATAGGTCCTTGTGTGTTTTTGACAGTTGTACTACAGCGTGCAATATTAGAGGCAGCCTGAATATTTTATTGGACTTTTGTTTGGAAGTAGATAATGGACGGTCGAGATCAAAGGCATTGTCATGGCCACCCTCTATTTGTGAGGACCATGAGAGGTGGTGCCCTCATGTCTGTCTCTCTGTAATTGCTTTGTTTTGGCAAAGACAGAGGGTGAAGCTGCCGTGGACTTTGAGTCCCCTTCACAACGCTCGAGGCAAGAAAGGAAAGTAATCACAGATCCAAAAACAGACACACATACACTCGTACATACACACGTACATAGACAGGCATGGATAAAGATATATACTTGTTTTTGCTCACACACACACACACACACACACACACACACACACACACACACACACACACACGCAACACTTTATCTGCCTCATCTGACCTGTCTCTCCCCTGATCCCCTCCTGTGCTTTGAATGTAGCTTTGATAAGTGAGCACCAAGCAGGAGGCAAAGAGGGGATGGTGAAGGCTTAATGAGGAGAAGTGGGAGCAGATGAAGTGGGGGAGGAGGAAGGGGTAAGACTGGGGACAGAGGAGGAAGAAAGTCATAAGAGAGAGAGAGAGAGAGAGAGAGTGTGTGTGTGTGTGTGTGGGGGGGGGGGGGGTATGTGAGTGTATGTGTGTGCTGTGTCCATGGTAGCAGTGGACACACACTGAGGGGGGAGATTGGAGGAGGACAGCTGAGAGCACACCCACTCTGTAGAGCGCGGGATTGAAGTAGAGAGAGCAAGGGGGGGTGATGAAGGAGAAGAAAGATAACGTTGAAGATGAGACAAAAGTGAGGCAGGTGCGTGTGTGTGTCTGTCGAACAGGATCAGTCAAACTATCACCCATGTTTTCCCTTTACACACATACACACACTCGCGCAGCGATCAATCGCCACTTAGTGGAACACAACCCTCTTGCTGTGTTTTTGATGTCTGATTACCAGCTGGGAGGAGATATAAAACTGCTCTATTTGTCCGTCTGTTTCTATTTATCTGTCTTTTACTCTGTGTCATATGTAAGCGTACAAACACACACACTCTCCTTCTCAGATAGGAATCAGCTGTAGATGGATTTTGAGAGCTTTTAGAGCCCAGCGTGACTTCCTCAGAAAAAAAGAATGAGTCACAGAATGAGCTGTGGAAGACATTAGGAGCTCATTTTTGCAGCTCTACAGTCCCAGCTCGGTGCTAATTATCGAAGTGCCATTTGGTGAAAGTCTTAATCCAGACTGAGAAACAATACATGAGGAACTAAATGTGTCTAACTGGCAGTGTCAGGTGGTTTGACCATGAATACATCTTTCTAATGAGGACAGAGTCTCATATCACATTCCTCAAGGTAATTGGGGCTAATTCAAAGTGTGTGGGGATTTTGCTGTGTATGTCAAAATGAATGTACACCTTCTTGCTTTTCTTGCAGAGCTCTGACGGTGGGGTCTATTTTTGCAAGAAACACCCAATGCAATTTAAAGCACCTAACACTTAGCATTGCTGTCAAGGGTTCTGTTATTTTGGCTAGCTTGTTGGTATAGCTGTAAGGAGCATGCCTGTTTACGGCATGCTTTTTTTATCACTTTTTTCTGAGGGGAGGCCAGTCTTTAACCGTGCGAATCTTGAAACCTATTCACAGAGATAGAGTAGGCGATATAAATAGACCACTATGGCTGCACTAGAACAATACGCCGATTTTATTAAGCAGTTGTTCGAAGCTGGTAAGACCCACACAGACATTTCGGAGACGTTGCAGAAGATGGGTGTCCGGAGATGCTCTGCAATGAGTGTCAGACGTTTCTGCATCCAACACAACCTCAGGCGGAAACGTCATGTTACTGATGCAGAACTGGAGAGGGCTGTGGTCAGTTCAATATACGAGGTAGGAAAAAAAAGTCAACAACTCCCGGGTCACAACACATCGAAAATGAAACAAACCAAACACGAATAGAACAAAAATCCCACGATAATTCCGTTCTCTCATATTCTATTTTTAATTTCAAAAATCAAAACAGCGAAAAATAGGCCGTTATTTGCCTTCAATATCAACATATCCCAATTTCCTAAAGTCAGTGAAGGTCAACACTGGTAGACTGCGCCTACTTGAGTCTAAACAAGTTTGATTTTATATAGTTTTGTCAATGATTGCTTCACAAATGCACCAAAACACCCAAATCAGGATTTATCAATTATTACAAAACATTATGATTGGGTTAGTTAATCCACAGCAAGTGTAACCCTCACATACTGTTCAGGTCAAATTTGACCCGTTTTGACTTTTAACAGCAGTAGAAATACCATAAACGTCATTCTTTAAGCCTGAAACTTGATGGCTTTTCCTGGAATGGCCCAAAATAGTTCCACTTTAGTTTAAGAAAAGTCTAGTGTTAAAATATGAAAGGTTTCACTCACATAACACTTACTATCTGGATTCTTTAACTCAATTGGTTGATTTAGTTTAGAATCCCTCACAATGCAATGCTGCTGTGCTCTCCCCTCTGATCTACAGAGACAGTACAGCAGAATATTCATTTTCACCTTAAATCCATAAAACGCCTCTGGACAGGCATGCTTGTCAGACACTCAGTTCACTCTTCTCATACCTTCACCTTTTATATTAATAGTTCATTATTTCTGAGAAATATATGGTTACATTTGCAGTCTATAATGACTTAGACTGGGATTATATGATTTTGTTTTTGACTATTTGTTCTTTATCATTTCTGTATGCTTTTCTGCATGACGTCAGTCTGTACAGTGACTCTGGTGTAAATGGTCCAAAATGCAACTTTGAATCTGCTTTTCAATCATTAAGTGCTTCCACCTTTGGATTTCACCTTGACTTGCTTGTAGACTGTTGGTGCCTCCACTAAGTTATGTCAGTAATGGTTGTCTCAAGAGCAGCCATTACTGCAACCTGACTACATGGTATTCAGGTTTAGTACTTTATAAAATCGATTTGTACTTGTCACAGTGCCTTTCTTTTATATAAGACTTCTATAACCAAAATTCCTCCTGCTTCTGAACTGTGAGGGGGTAAAATATTCAAGTGATGGATTTGATGTGAAATTGACACTGTTAAACTACTTTGGTTTGATAAAGAGTAGAGTGTCCCACGTTTGTAAAGACTATTGCATCTACCATACCCTTACCGAAAAGAAGTATGTTTAAGTGTAATTCAAATATACTATTTTTAAATTACGTATGCTTTCAGTTTACTTTTCTACACTTTTCAGAAATATACTTAAAGTTAATTTTAAGTGTACTTGACTTGTACTAAGAATTATACTAAAAGTCTAAACCTGCATGGAGCTGGACCCCCACCCTATGCAAAAATTCGTGAAAATAGTCTGCTTCGTTTGTGCTTCGTTTATGCTGGTTTGTGCTGTTAAAATTTCTGTTTGTGCTGCTATGGTTTTTTTAGTAATTAAATGTTGTTTTATAGGTCATCCAGAGGTCGCCCAGCCCCCCATTTGTTCCGAATGGACCCGAAATGGTGCCTTTTGTTAGTGCTTCGTTTGTGCCTGTTTGTGCCGTTAAAATTTTCATTTGTGCTGCTTTGGTTTTAAAGTTATAACACACTTAAGTTTTTGGCGATGATGTCACCCAGCCCCCCATTTGCTCCAAATGGACCCAAAATGGTGCCAATCGTTTGTGCTTCGTTTGAGCTGGTTTGTGCCATAAAATTTTTGTTGTGCTGCTTTGGTTTTAAAGTTACTAAAACTCAGGGCTGTTAGCTGGCCGGTCGCCTTTCACCAAATGCGACTAAAATACTCCCCTGGCGACTTAATTTTGGAAGGGTACATGCCACAGGGCGAGTAGTTGTTGTCCAGATAGTCATCATGCAATAAAATATGCACAATGTGTCACAAAGTGTAGCTATAAAATTCTAATGATGGTAGCTAACGTTACTGGCTACTGATTTGTTGTGTGTCACACTGAAGTGGAGCTCTGAGCAAAACTGATGAGACGCCGTATAATAGTGAAAACAAGACTCATACCTGCCAACACTCCCATTTTTCCTGGGACTCTCCCGCCCACCTCCCGTATTGTCATTTCTCCGGGGAATCTCCCATAGTTTGCATGATCCACGTTCATTCATGAATCGGATCACTATATTTGTCCAAAGTTTCCAGGTTTCCAGACAACCAAAGATTGTCCTGTGTTTCTGCTGAGACTCACAGACGCTGGATGGATACTTTTACTTTACAATTTGGGATGATTCAGGTCAGTTTAAGCTGTAACATATATTTAAGCAGTGTTTCTTGCAAAATGAACACTTCAATGAAAGAGAAACAAACACAAGATATAATATTTATGTTGATAGTCTTGCACCGTCTCGGAGTGGTGCGTTCAGGGCAGCCTCGGATAAAACAGTGCTGTATTTCATGCACAGATGTTCAGAGAGCCTCATACGGGAGAGCATGTAAAGCATACGAGGACTTTAACACCAATATTTGTGGACTGAATATATTCAAGGCATATCGTAGCTATTATTTTTTATTACAATATGTTATTGTTAAAACAAAACAAAAAAGTGTGCAGCTTCACTTACACTTATTTGGATGAGTAATCTAATAACAAATACTTACAGACATTATCAGTATTGCAGAGAAATGCATCCACCCATAAAGCTTGATTCTTTGGGACTTTCCCAAAGAATGTTTGGACTTTCCTGGTGTAATATTTCCAAAAATATCTCTTGTTGTTGTCTCAATAGCTAATTATGGATGTATATTTTGGCAAACAGAAAAACAGCTGATATAATGTTAGTATTAAGCGTCTGCTGACTACACTATAACTTAAAGAAACTCTTTGATTCTAGTTGCTTGTTTACCTATCGGTGATGATATATGCTAAATACTGTGGGCTCGATCAACATAACACCTGAGAAACACATTTTATTTTATCATAAAAATAATAATAATTCATCATTATGGGGTTTGTGTTTTCATCACTGAAATAAAGTCACACCAGTGAAACATTTGGGCTGATAAAACGTCTGATCTCAAAATCTATTCAACATAAATGACACAAAAGATATATACCTAACTTTTGGATAATTACTGATCGTTATTTAGCCCCACAAATAAGAACTGTATGGGTTTTAAACTGTACATTTCCCTGGACCACTCTTTTATAAGCAGTGCGCATTTCTGTGAGGTGCATACTTCTCAGGAACAGTGGCACAAACAAAGCACAAATGAACAGCACCATTTTGGGTCCATTTGGAGCAAATGGGGGGCTGGGTGACGTCATCGCCAAAAACATAAGTGTGTAATAACTTTAAAACCTAAGTTATGATAAGATAAGGAGAACTTTATTAATCCCCAAAGCAGCACAAATGAAAAATTTTGCATGGGGTGGGGGGCCAGCTTCATGCAGGTAAAGTCTAAATATATTTAACCCATACTCATACATAAACTTTTGATCAAGTTATACTTAAGTATGTATTTTTGACTTGGGTTTAAGTATACTTGTTTAGTGAATACTTCCATATATCTTTTTAAGAGTATACTCTTAAAAAGGTAAGCAGTACAAGCCAAGTTTACAAATATGTACTGCTATCAAAATAATAGCATACCAAAAGGTATTTGTAATTATGCTTCAGAGCTAGCACACAGGTAGCCGAGTGCATTGAGGCACACCCCAAGTTGGGGATGGTGGTTCTCGGTTACGGGTTTGATTCCTATCCCCACCCTGTGCTTTATGAACTTCATTATACTTCATAAAACGTACTTGAGGTATACTTTTTTGGGGGGAAGGGTAGGTATACATTAGGAATGAAGAATAAATTGGCAATAACAAGGTGACACAATGATAACATTTCCGACCAGGATACAAGTGAAGGCCAGTATTTACAAACACAAATGATTTTGTGTCCTGACAAATCTGTTCATCATCATGAAATGTTACGCCAGTTGTATGCAGTGTGATTATCTTGTACTGAACTAAAGTAAAGACTCACAGTGATTTCAATGGTAATGTTTAAAAAGATGTAAAACTCACAGCCATGACACCGAACTGAGTGGACAGAATTGATTGTACATTAGGTCTACACTGTGTGCAGAGTCTGTAAATTTGAACAGTGGATTGCTGTTGCATTTTGCAGTATTGGCACACTGGAGTTTGACAGAGTGTTGAACAGATGCAGAGAGGGGTGTGGTAACAGATTAAACAGTGTGGAAGCACAGGGGTAGCAACAATGGGGTATGTTCACTTTGAGCCAAGTTTCCTCAATGTTATGAACCATTGATTGATTATTGGAAATACAGACAACAGTGCACATGTTGACAACTTTGACAGCAAATTGTCCTTGAACAAGATACCAAACCCCAAATTATACCTTAAGGCAGTGCCAGTGAAATGAAAGAGTGTGTGAGAAATATTTAATTGTGTCAGATTCTGATGTGCAGCTTGGCACCTTGCATAGCAACCTCTGCCAACCATTGTTTGCAGGTGAGAGTGAATGTAACCCAAACATGATGATAGACTTTGATAAATGGACGGCCAGATTAAGTACATTACCAGGGTTGTCAAATGGGTACCTCTATTCACAGTTTTTTGATGAGCTGCACCCACTTTGACCTGTGGGTGCTCCAGAGTTAGATCTGACATCTTGATACCATCCCCCACCCTGTAAGTGCCATTACACCCACGGAGATTATCACTAAATGCCACAATCAATTACCAAGTGGACTTTTTCAGTTGATTGTGTGTCCATGAAGAAATAAGTAATGTGAACTGTGTACATGTTAAATATGTGTGTGTTCAACCAAGTATGGCTCATGAATTGCATTAAGTTTGTTTATATTTTAGCGGGGTTACATATTACACTGTTTATCCGTAAGACATTGTTTTTCATTTATCGATTTGTGTCAATTTTATTTACAGAGACCACATATACAATCGATGTAAAATTGAGTACTGTAAAAAATAGTGTTATGTTGCTAGAAAGAAGAATACAAAGGGCTAACTAAAACTGTGTTTCTTGGATTCACTCTCTGACTGGAGTGCTTGAGTGGATGGAGTGTCCCAGCATTGTTTAGTGATAACACAGAAGTCATTTTCCAATTGGTATGTAAACAACAGTGTATGCTTGAATCAGTAAAAAGGGAGTTAGGTGGACACCAACAGCTAGCCTCAGACATTTTCCATCAAGGCTTAACTTTTGAGGTCATTAAGTGACAAAATGTGTAAAAGGTAACCCCCCTAAGCCGTGTCTAACCTAATAACAAAAAAAAAAGCCAAATCAAAACGGACGTGAATTCTGAGCACCTTAAACACTTGGTGTGACACCATACTCAAGAGGAATAGTATTACAGTATGAACAGGATTTTGTCGTCCTTTCTCCTTGTTGCAAATTTTTTAGATAGATAGATAGATAGATAGATAGATAGATAGATAGATAGATAGATAGATAGATAGATACTGTAGATAGATTTTTTTCTATGACCTCATCTAGTTTCAAGTTTCAAGTTTTATTTGTCACATGCCTAAATGTACAGGTACAGTGGCAGTGAAATGAAAGTGACGTCTGTGATTGTGCCAAAGAAACAGAATATGAATAGAACACAAGTATGTAAAAAAAAAAAAAATGATAATAATAATAATAAGAAAATCAAATAATATATAGAAAGAGATAAAATAAAAATAGAAATAAGATAAATATACACTCTTATATACATCCTATGTACAATAACCGTAAAATAAAAATAAAATAAAAATAATTAAAAATATTGACTCCTATGTACAAGTAAACAAGGTAACAGAGGTAAACAGGTAAAGTGACCAGTAAGTTATCTTCTGCAGTACATTCTGTTCAGAGGGTGTTGTGAAGTCAGTTATGGGGTGGGTGTTATGAGGAGTTCAGGATCCGAGTGGCCTGGGGGAAGAACTTTGGTGGCCATTTCCCCTGGTTACACTCCGTGCTCCGTAAGATCTCCTTCGGCCAGGTAGAGCTCTCACTCAAAACTTCAAAAAATGGGTAGATAGACCTGCTAGCGAAGTTAAGTAGTGTGCTATGGTCATATGTAATTAGACTGAAACAAAGAGGGGTTAAAGAGCTAAGGATAACTGAGAAAAAAACGAACAAAAAGCACAATCTATGCGGAGTAGTCACGACGGCATCTGGACACATCTGCGCCATCTTGTGATGGTTCTACTGCAGATCATGAGAGGACAGCATGGAGAAAAAAGAAGGACAGTTAGAGGGAGGGAGGAATAAGCGGTCGTACGAAGACATAGTCATGTGTTTTTTGTATTTCTGTGTTTTTCTGTGCTCTGGTGTGAGGCTCCTATTCATTCTTGCTAGCCTTGTGCTTATGTTAGCTGAAGGTTAAGCCTTGGGCTCCTATGAAAAGAACCCATTGGCAAGCAGTGAGCACCCTGTTCCTGAGTGTGTGTTTCTTTTGTATGTGCAGAGAGAACATACGCGCGCGCGCACACACACACACACACACACACACACACACACACACACACACACACACACACACACACACACACACACACACAAAGGCAGGTTCCAGGTAGCCTTGGGCTTTCAGGACCCACACACATTGAAGAATCTCTCTCCCTTTGTTCATCCCAAACAGCTCTATAGAAAAGTAATGAAGACAGGGGAGCCAATTCAAACATCTCTTCTGCTTATTACATTTTTTTCTCCTCTTCTTTGACGTGTTTCTCCTCACCTTGATCAACAGTCTTGCCTGTTCTTTCTCTAGATCTGCTTCCTTACCATGATTTTGTCTCTCTGCTGTCACATGCACGCAGCTATCATACTGCTTTATTTTTCTTTGCTTGTTGCTGGCTGCTAAGATACCTTGGTACATTTGTCGCAGTAGCATTTTTTGGTAATCTCCCCTCCCTTTAAGATGGCTTTTTCTATGTTTTACAGGACATGTGGTGTTTTTACCACAAATCAACCAAGTTGCCCTACTGTTTCTCAAGTCCATTTAGGTGAATGCCTAAAGTTAACAACTGCTGCTGCGTTAGCTGTATTTGTTGTGTGTCCCTTTCCAATCATATTGACTCACATTTGGCTGTTGTTCTCATTCACATTATAAATTCTGCTTGTAATTATAATGTTTAACATTTCTGTCTCAATTAGGTACCCCAGGAAACTCTGTCAGAGGATATTCTTTAGACTAATAAAAAACTTTGATGATTTTTGTTGAACACAAGGAAACAGCACCAAAACTGAATATCTTGGAGGCTGGTGAGTATCCTCCTTGAGCAAAATTGAGGGCAGGCCTTTGACCATGTGCAGAAACGGCAGAAATGCTCACACCTGTGTTCTCTAATAGACTGTCATGTTTAGTGAGAAGACGGTGCCAGTTTTCTTCATCAGCAAATGCCGGTAGGGACATGAGATGGCAGAGTCATGTGCATACATCACACAAGCCTAAAAAAAGCAATAGTGTGAAAATCTGAAAGCAGCTGACCATAGTTCAAACTAGCAAAAAATGAATGGATAAACCTGGTCATCTCTGGCCATACACCCACCTGTTTGCTTGCTATGAGTATTTCCTGGCAAGATTTAACTTTGATTACCTTCAGAAATTTTATGAGGGGGTTGTCAGGAAAAATCCAGGAATCCAAACATCTTGGCTTGTGTGTTCATACATGCAGCTCACTCTCAATCTCGAGTTTTTGCAGAGCTTATGACTGTATGTGTTGTTTTGACATACTCCCCTGTGTGATACACATGTTAATAGAGATGAGAGCCTCAGGGGCTGACACAACTAGTAAGATTTTAAACCAGACAACGCAATTTTGGGGTATTCCCGAAATAAAGGAAGCAGCACCATCCTGGTGCACTCCACCTTAAGGAACCTTGTGAGAAATGTGCTTTTAGAATCCCCCCTTGCTTTTGTATAAATTGATCTTCATCCCCTATGATCATTTACTTGTACCAATCTTGTTTTTTTTCTTTTTCTGTCCTCATCTTTAAGCTGCTGATCACTCTCTTTTCTCCCAATTTATTTCCTCCCTCAGTCTATCCCTCACCGCAGCTCATGCTGAGTTTGCCTCCAGCCCTGCGTGCCTTTCTCTCACTCTCAGCCTGTTTTTCTCTGCTCTCCTCTTCGATCTGTTTATTCTGTGCTTGTTTTTCTGACTGCCACCGCTCTCTCCCTATACCAATCCTTCCATAGTACCACTGACTCTCCTCCTATGCCTTGTTTCGTATCTTCCCATATATACACTTTCTCCCCGCTTTCTCTTATTCCTGCTTTTATCCCTCTCTTGGAAATAGTAAGGAGACAGCATCAAATGTTAAAACCATATTGCCTTATTACAGCCCCATTCTTGCTTGATTTAGGATTTTAACTTCTCAACAAATCAGTCTTTGTTGTATTTTTAAGCTTCATGATGTGTTTTTTTTTTTGTTTGTTTGTTTGTTTGTTTTTTAACAGGTACCAAGTTAGAAATGTAGAAGGCCAGTTTAGTTCTTCTAAACAACTCTCCTACTACAGGGCATTTTTGTAAGTTTTAGTTTTGCCCCTGAAAGAAGCATCATCTGGATGGTGGTGCATATTGCTTTAAAACCCACAGTGCTTGACTGGTGCCTGACTAAATATATTAATTACTCCAGCAATTAACACTCAGTGTCCCTATACTGTCACATTATGCTGGCTCCAAGACTGGGGTTAGGTGTACCCTGGACAGATAATCAGATTATCACACAGTCTGCTAACAAAAACAGACACATGAAACTTCAATGATCATATGATGTCCATTTTCAGATCAATGACAGAGTTGAGTCTAAAGGCCCTTACACAACAGTGAATTTGCGGAGCGAAATGAAAAAGCGAGACGAAAATGCGAAAATATTCGACGGTCCGAAAAATCGCTTTCACTTATACACACCGGGCGACCACTCTGTGGTACACAGTCTCTCCCATCGTTGCTCTTGGTGCTAGTGGTGGTGTGTGTCGTGTGAACTGCAGCCGCATGGGTCTGTGACGTCATCAACAACATGACTTTTGATTGGCCAAAGGTCTAGCAGGTCCAGATATTTGCCTGCAAATCTCCGAAAAATTCGACACAAGAGCAAAAAAATAGTCGCTTTTCGCCCCGCGGAAAAATCGCCGCCGGTGTGGAAGCTTGCATTGACTTAATAAAGGCTAATAATTTGCCTGGCGAATTCGCGCCCAGAGTGTAAGGACTTTATGATTGCTTACTATGCCAGGTGAGATAAGAAAATGACGCACCGTGTAATTTCCTGCCCTCTGCTTAACCTTTGATTTTGTTCTGCTTTCCTCCTCTGGCACTATAATTCAGTATCACAGAATAGAATCAATCTATATGCAGTCTTGGTATTGGGAATAAAAACAAGAGGTCATTTTATGTACAGCGTTCCTAGAACTGTGACATGTTTCCTGCTTGAGGTGTCATCAGTTTTTTCAAGCATTGCTTTGCTGGACTGGGACATAGAGGACGTGTATGAGCTGCTGTGAGCTGCAGTTGTTAAAGAGTCCAAGAAAAAATGAGCAAAAATGTCAGAGAGGTGGAGGTAGTCTGTGGTGGCATTTTGAAAACAAACATGGAGGTACTGACAACCTGTGATGTCAGTAACACGTTACTTATGGTGCGTTCGAGTTACCTCGGAAGTCAGAAGTCAGAGCCAAAAATGACACCACACCCGAGTTACCAGCAGTTTAGTTACCACTTTTTGAAAAGTAACTAGCAACACTGCTGACAACAGAAACTTCTAGTGGCGCTACTTTTGTGCCTTGCCGGCGGTGTAGCGCAGGCACGGCGCAAGTCAGGTCCACCGCGCCGATAAGGCATACCCAAGCACATTTTGGTATTTTGGTGAGCAGTGCAGCCCGGCATAAGTATCCCACCTCCCTAACTCTGCTCCTCCCAGCGGTGTAAGTCATAGAGCTAGTTATACCGTACTTTCCATCTAGACCGTTACGCTCACAGTCTGCAGGTCTGCTCGTTGTACCAAATGTCTCTGAAAGTAGTATTGGAGGAAGAGCTTTCAGCTACCAGGCACCTCTCCTCTGGAATCATTTACCGCTCGAGGTTCGGGGGGCAGACACACTCTCAACTTTCAAGAGTAGACTTAAAACGTTCCTCTTTGATAAAGCCTATAGTCAGGGCTGATTTGAACCAGCTCTTAGTTATGCTGCTATAGGCCTAGACTGCCGGGGCTATCTGGCACACTGAGCTAGAATCTGTCTCTATCTCCTCTTTAGATCTTTATGTCCCATATAAGTCACTGACCAGTTTTCTGTCTCTCTGAGTGTCTCTGAGTCTTTTAGCTGCCACTGGACTAATGCTGCAAACGGTCTGCTGCGGAACTGCCTGACCCCAGCTGCATCCATCCTGGGCCCTGAGCTCCTCCATCTCTTTGGCTCTTTGGCTTCTCTGGACCGTTGCTGCAGAGACCCCCCCCCCGGCCCTGAGCTCCTTCTTCTCTCTGATTCCTCTGGACTGTTACTGTTACTGCAGACATGAACATCAGCCTCACTGTCATTATTGACATACAAAATAGAACTGACTACGATTAAGCCTGCTAACTGTAATCACACTCAATTAATTCAACATTGTCCATTATTTCTCATATCCTAAACCTGTAAACTGAACGTCTTTTTGTTTCACCATTACATGAGCTGTTGTCGTTGTTGCTGTTGTTCCTGCTGCCTCCTGTCTCTCTCTCACCCTCGTTCCCTACTCTCTCTCCCTCCCCCTCCCTCTCCGTACTAATTCTCTCTCGCCTTTCCCCTATCTTGCTGTCTCTCTCCCTCCCCCTGTCCTCTCCCCCTCTCCCCTCTTCTCTCTACATTCCTCCCCAACCCAGCAGCGGCATGGTGGCTGTCTAGCATGAGTCTGGTCCTGCCCAAGGTTTCTGCCTGTTAAAAGGAAGTTTTTCCTTGCCACCGCTACTCATGTTAGTTGAGATGGGCCAAAACCCATCTTAGGTTGGTTCTTGATCATCAAACAATGAGCGTGGTCTCGACCTGCTCTTGTTCTTTGGAAAGCGTCTTGAGATGACGACTGTTGTGAATTGGCGCTATATAAATAAAATTTGATTGATTGATTGATTGATTGATAGAGAGGGAGGAGATAAGGCGTGAAGTGGGTTTAACACAGCCGAGACCTGTTGTCGCCAATCACATCAGCTCGTCTCCTCACCTTTAAATCTGAGGTGTATTACAATTTTCATGCAGTAGTCAAAGAGATCAAGAGATGGCTGAAGACAGCAATGCCACACGATGGCAACAGAAGGCAGCTCCTCAACAAGTGTCACTGTAAACGCTGCAGTGGGCATCCTGCACACTCTCTCAAATAAGCACAGATGGATTTGGTGTGTGTCATGTTGGACCCACTGGTAAGACAAACACCCTTTTACACAAATAAAGACACATCAAGTTGCATATATTTAAACCTCACGTGACAAAGGTGGGTTGTGCGAACAGATCACAACATAAATTCCAATAATGGCATTAAAATCTGAACCATCTGTGCGTAATGACACATCGCGCTCCGTGGCCTGGCTCTTTCTTTCATAGATGTTGGCATATAAAATAAATTTGGCTCACAAAACTGAATATTATAATCTTTGTATGTAGGCTTAAAGCGCCGGGCTCCACCAGACAAAAATATCACTGCGCGGGGTGCGCCACCCTCCGCCGCGCCACCGGCGGGCATGAAAATAGAGCCCAAGGAGACTGATTGTTCAGGTTTTGCAGATGTTATCACTTCTACCATGATTGTTAGCAGTCACAAAGCAGTGCAGCATGACTCCATCAGTGCTAGATATTTTCAGGTCCAGTTTTCAATGTCAAAATTCTTAATAGGTTAAAGTGCAGGCAGCAAATTTAAGCAGATTAGGGCCCATTAGGCATGCCTGTAAAATACCACAGGGAGTCAAACACCTGTAGGTGCCTGCCTTCGAGGAACCAAGCTTAACACCCTTGTCCCAGCAGGCTGGTGCATCATCACAGCAGTAGTAATGATGAAATAAACTTGGCCTTGACTTTTACATTAGACCAAACCCTTACTCTACATATCACATGCTTCACCTCTCCTCTTTCTGCTTTCTGTCTCTGTCAGTCTTAAGTGCTCGCTGTGAGTCCAGCTAATAGTGTTGCCCCCCCCCCCCCCCCCGTGTCTCCACAGGGGAAAACACACAAACAAAGTGCAGTAAATATGCCCATTAAACACTGTGTTATACATTTGTACTAAGTTGTTAGGCCAGATCAAAGCTGATTCACAGGTCAGGGGCTTACAATGATAAGTGTGTTTCATTTAAGTCAAGTCTTATTGATCAGAGCAGCTAATGATACACATTTGTTAACCCTTTTCTCTGCTTCGGACTGTGCTGTCTGAGATGTTGGGGTAGCTTTTCTCTTATGCATGGTCAAACACCTGCTTCTATCAAAGATCTGCTGAGACCAAATAAGCCCAGCGGGACTCTTAAGTCTCTTGATTAGAGTTTTGTCGTACCTCACACCAGACTGAAAACTAAAGGAGGCTTTGGGTTGGATGTTGCCTCTGTTAAACTGGAATTGAGAACTGTGGATACTATGGATGAGTTTTTTAAAAGCAGCTGAAGACACACTCGCCCTTTGTTTAATTTGCCTATGTCTGCTTCCATTTATTTATGCTTTTATCTCTCTGTTTTCTTTTAAAACTTTTATTGTGAAGCACTCTGTGATGTCTGCTCTTGAAATGTGCCGAATAAATAAACTTGACTTGCTTGCTTACTCAGTATATTGCCAGCACACACGTTTGTATAAAGTTCCACTAAATTCCAAAAGTTAATGTCACACAGTGCGGTAACAGCATGCCTTTGTTGTCACCTCATCAGAGATACTACCAAAACCATCATCTGCTGGACTTAAAAGTTATCAATTATGTAGGGGAGACAGCTGACCTGCCCACAGTGCCAAAACTACCACTGGACGATTTACTGAGCATGATTTAACTGTTTTGACATACTAGAAAAAAGTTAATTTTTCCTGTAATTCAATTTAAAAAATCTAACTGCCATATGATCTAGATTCATATTTCATATTTCTTTTATAAAAAAAATCACATTCTTAAAAAATTAAAACATTACATAACACTCAGATAAGAAAAGGATTTAATACACAGAATTGTCGACCTTCCGGACAATTATGTTGAATTACGCACTCAGGTCTTGGTCAGGTTGGCTTGTTTGATTAGCCAAACCGACTAGCCATAGTGCAATAAAAAAAATAAATATCCCGAGGTTACTCTCGCTTACATTTGACAGTTGGAAAGTTGATTGAAAAGTTGTCCTGCTCATTAGGGTTGGGGCAAAACATTGATATGGCAATATAATCATTGTCATGACGTGTGATAAAAAGTTTTAATTCACTTAGGCTGAATAGCAGAATTCTAATTGAATAGACAGGCTACCATGTTTTGGGCAGTTTTCCTTTTCACTACATATCGTGTGGTAGTTACTGCATGAATAAAGGAAATGTGAACAGCTGTTTCTTGAGCAAAGAAGAAAAGGTTGACTGCTGCAGAACAGCACGAGAAGAAAAAGAGCTGTCAGTTTTCGCCATCAAAAATGCTTGTTGTCCTAAAAATAATAAACAATCCTGCAAATAATAAAGAAGACGGAGCAGTACTACCAGAAACCGAGGGGGCAGTGTTGCTGCTGTCACTACCCGATATGCAATGGTGGCAGACATCCTGAAGTATTGAAATGACAATCGTTGTCAATTTCTATCATTGGTACTATGAAGAATTCTCTGTCCTCCAACCGCGAGGCATTTAGTGGCCTGAGCGACCACCGCCTCCTCCAACACTGCCTCCGTTGTCGTCTCATATGCAAAATATACATCATCACTAGCTCCTCCACAGTGGCCATGTTTCTTTTTGTTTGTTGTTGTCAGAAACTTTTGACTCTGGCCTGCCCCCTGGTGTATATGGTAAGTGGTAGTGGGCAGTGACGGAACCATGGTTTGAAATGGACGCATACATTTCCATACGTTTTGCAAGCATAAATGAGCCTTTAATGTAAAGTTGACTGAAGGCAAAAGTGAGAGAGGAAAAGGTGGGAGAGCAGCAGGGATGAGTGCAGCCTTGAGAGGATCTACAAAGAAAACAGATTCAAGAACTTAGGGGAGCTTTACAGGGAGTGGACTGAGGCATGAGTCAGAGCATCAAGAGCCACTACACCTGGATGTGTCCAGGACTGCTAGTGTCGTGTTCATACTATCAAGAAACTCCTGAACCAGAAACTATGTCACAAGTATCTCACCTGAGCTAAAAGGAAAAAAAAAGGACAACTGCTCAGTGGTCCAAAGTCCTGTTCCCAGATGTAAGTATCTTTTACATTTCATTTCTAAATCAAGGTCCCAGAGTCTGGAAGAAGATCAGAAAAGCACAGAATCCAAGGTGCTTGAATTCATGCGCCTGTGAAAAGGTGATTCTGCAGTCTTAGGGTGTTTTTGCACCTGAAAGTCTGGACCAAGATCCGAATCAAGGTCTGTGTTTTTGTTACATTGTATACATTTGGTTTGGTCTGTTTAGGTTTCACACTTTCATTACTGCAAATGAACTAACATACTTTACATGATGAACCCATGTGATATCGTCATTAACTACGTGCTTTGCGTGTCTCTGTGGTTTACATTGATTGGTCATCAGGCTGGCGGGCGTCTGACATCAACACATTAAAAAGCGCGGGTCTTGAATGGTGTAAACATGGATGAAATCGTCATTCCCACCATCATACTAGTTCGATTTTTTACCTCCAACAGCGACAACTGAAGGGCTGTACATGAAACTGGTCTGAGGAAGTCTCATGAACCTGATCATTAGATGACACTCTTATCATGGTCGACAGGGAAGGAAAAGAAAGTATACAATCCTGCAAGTCCTGCAACACCAACTCTGGAGAGAAAGTATGTGTAGTAAAACTCTTGAAAAGCTAAGCTATTAATCGTGAAGTATAACTTGTCATTGGTATGAAGGTCCAAAACTTTCAAAAAAATGCTTTCACACTGGGCATGAACCAGACCATGGTTCAGTTTGGTCCAGACCAAGTTCACCTCTTTCAGCCGGACCAAGGTCTGACTGTTTGGTCTGGATCGAGGTCCTGGGGAGGTTTCACACCTATCATTTTATTTCGGACTAAACAGAAAATTCCAAAAGTCCGCACCAAACAACATAGATGTGACAGCCCCCTTAGATGGTTTGAGGTGTCAGTGCAGCCTAAAGTCTACCAGGAGATTTTAGAGATCTTCATGCTTACATCTGCTGAGAGGAATTATGGAGATACAGATTTCTTTTTCCTGCAGGATCTGCCTACAGTGCCAAACTACCAGAAACTGGTCTGCTGACCATGGTGTTATTGTGCTCGATTGGCCAGCCAACTAGCCTGACCTGAATCCCATGGAGAATCTCTGGGGCATTGTCAAGAGAAAGGTGAGAGAGACCAAAGCCAACAATGCAGACAAGCTGAAGGAGCCATTAGAGCAACCTGGGCATTGATAACACCCCAGCAGAGCCCCAGACTGATCGCCTTCATGCCATGTTGCACTGATGCAGTAGCTCTGACCAAGACCTGAGTGCTTAATTGAACGTAATTTTCCAGGTCAACAATTCTGTACATTGTTATGAGTGTTATGTAATGTTTTAATGTTTTAAGAATGTGGATTTTTTATTTCCTAAGTTATAAGTCCTAGTGATCGAGATTTAAACAAAAAATATATAAATATTTCACTTTCACTTTTTAAAAAATTGAATTTCAGGAAAAATGAACTTTTTTCTAGTATGTCAAAATTTTTTTTGAGCTGCACCTGTACTCCATTCCTACCAAGTCTGTACTGCGCAGTGTAACTAAAAAATACCTTAACTCTAACCCCGCATTTAGAGCAACTATTATCTGTGGGACTTGCACAATGCACCCACTTTTGCCTGCTTAGCCCTAAGTCTCTTTGATCAACAGACCTTGATGTTCAGAGTAAAACAGACACTCTGCTATGAGGTTTGAATTCAAAGAATCACATTTCATCTTTAGTCGTTTCAACTCTGTCTTGAAAACAATGTCTGCCACTGACAGTGTGTAGCAGAGACTTTTTGCCACTGAATATTTGTAAATGTTCCTGTTTCCAAAGTCATTTCTTCTACTTTTTTTCCTGTTATCACAGGATTATACTGCAGCTCTTTACTTTTTAAACCTGTCACCATTGAGTATGCTCACTCTGAGAATTGTTTACAGCAGTAGTTTGAGTTTTTGTCTTGTTCAAGGTAACACTGATGGGTTGCCATGGTTTTGGTGGTGAGCAGATCCAATACGTAAGACAGCTCCCTGTGTTTTATTTTTCTATCTTCTCTATCATTGTGCCCCTTTTTATGAAGGCCTAAGGTAGTGGGAGAAAGCCAAGGTCTAGCAGAAAAATGACTTTTCACATGCTTATTCAATTCAGACAACAAAGGAGTAAAAGGTTCACAGTGAATGGGCTCGCACATACAGGGACACGGTTAAAGTCAAGGTTATTATTAGTATAACTACTAAAGATTGAGAATACTTTCATCAGGTTTGCAGTCTCAACTTCTGATTCAACACCACCTGGGAAAGTGGACAAATCTTCACCAGGAATGTCAGGTGGAGGAAACAAGGTATTTTCAACAACCCTCTCCTCTTGGAAAGATAGCTTTCTAATTTCTCTTGGTGTAAAAATAAAATTATTCCTACAACATTTGCGAAGCATTGATATCCCATTTTAAAGTAATTTACTCATGTCTCTCAGTTTCTGTAGCCTTTAGCTTAAGTTTTCATAGATTTTTTGAGTTTCTGTCCAATAACATATTCAAAGTTTTCACATGTCTGTAACAAGCATATAGTGATTAATTAATTACATATTAATAAATATGAATTAACAAACTCCAGGCTGATTGAGTGGCAGTTCTGGGGGTAAAAAACTAAACAAAAGAAAAAAAATCATCTACAGGTGGGAGGGATTAAGAAGGGCATTTAAACCAGCCTCTTTAAATGAGAAATATGATCCCAATAATAATCATAATCATTATTATTATTTTAGGCCACTTTTATGACAGACATTCTCATAGTGATGTCCAGCTGTGAACTTCTCAAAAAAAAAATCTCCTTTTTTTCTTTTTTCCTTCATTTTTTCCCCAGCAGATACAGAGTGGGCTGCCTGCAAAGAAACAGCTTAGACAGCACTCAAACAAAGTTCATCATTTATGCAGATTCCAAGTCATGAATATGCTACAACTCTAAGGCCCGGACTACACATGTATAGATATTTATTTATTAGGATATTTTTGTACTCCCTTCTAAATAAATGTATCTGTCCACACGTGTTAGTTCTCAAAAATATCTGCATCCACACATAGCCTTCAAACTGAATCCTATCTGGTGCCGCTTAAAAAAATTCAGGAACAAAGCTACCTGATTGGCCGATGAATCGCAACAGCGTGATGTGTCATGCATTGTTTGCGGAAGTTACGCTAGTGCGTCGGGTCCATGTGACGGTGTGGCGGCTATAACAAACAAACAAAGAATACCCTGTATGTCCGCCATCGTTGTTGTTGTTGTTGTTGTTGTTTTTCTTTTTAATTTGCATGTGCGAGCTGCGGTTTGACGTCATCGATCCGTAGAAGTTCAACCACACGAATTCACTTATATGGATATTTTTTTATTTCTCCACTTGTTTTTTCCGATTCATATTTATCCGGTTTGAGTGTTCCAAACTCCCGTTTTGGCGTGGTAGGGAGGCCTAATCGGACATAAATATGTGCGGTTTGAAATATATCCGCATTTGTGTAGTTGGGGCCTAAGACTAAATTTTTTTTTTATTTCAATATTTTTATTTCAAATGTCACCAAAGCTACAACTCTGTAAAAACCATTCACTTACTGTTTGCCCTACCTATGAATGAATGAGAGTTTCCTCACTTCAGGTTCAGGTGAGTGAACCTCAGGAGTACAATGTACTGCAATTGCCTTTTTGGTAAGCGGTTTCAGCCATGCTGAGTTTGTGTGTGAGGCATAATTTTTACTTGCACTGGCTGCAGTGTAACATGGTGCTTGGAAGCTCTGTGTAACCTCAATGATACAATATTTGGGCTAAATTATGATGCTTAAATAAATGTCTGCTGATTGGTGTACTTCAGTTCCTGATGAGAAAAATCATTTCTAATCTTATGTGTGTGTGGAGGGGACAGGTTTATTATTAATACTAACCAACAAAACTAAAATGTGAAAAACATTTTCAATAACAGTAATGATAATGAATGCTAGGCTTTACAGGAAAAGATAACTGATCTAGAGTTGTATTGAGTGTTAACATTTAAAATTGAAAGACAAAATTGTCATCCTTGACACTGAGACAATTTCATGTTCCTTTGCTGACTACAGAATTGCTCTTTGTAGTCAAAATAGCATCCTGGTCATTCTTGAAAAAATGGTTGAGAAATTAAATACAACATTCAATATAATAATATTAACTCATTCAGTGCCAGGTTCATTTATGCAGTTTTCACCCAGTGCCACCATTGACCACAACAGAAATTTTCGTATCTTTCAGGACCCACAGAATATCTTGTGCTTGGACTAGAATTAAGAGCTATATCTCAAAAGAAAGGGGTAATTTTTTGCTTGCATCCTCCTCACCGGGACTGTCGCTGAATTCCGGCTAAGTCTTGCTCACCAGTACCGGTTAAAATAACAAAAATAAGTACTTGCCAGTGAGACGTGTGCCATCATGTGTGCCCATTAGCCTAGTGGTGGAGTGTTTTTTCTCTATGAGGAGAGTACGAAAATGCCAAAGTCAAAGCCAAGATCTAATGGTCTTGGTGCATTGGCTCCTGTGGGCACAATGCTACCGTCTCTGAATCCAGAGGAGATCCTGGTACCGTACCCTCGCATCAAGTAGACAAACAATTTTTCGGGGTGTCATTGTGCTGCCAGTGGGTCATGATGAATTTGTCGGCTTTTCTGCGTTCACATCAACCCCAAACTTAATCGCATGTTGGGGAGGAGCGCCCTCTGGTGGAAAACAAAAAAACGGAAAGATCCATCAAAATCTTTCAATGGCACTAAATGAGTTTATATAATACAATATCATATAATAGTTTTACAGAGCACTGTCATTCTTATTCTGTCAAACAAAACAATCCCTCTATTTGTAGATCTGAATGGATTAACCTTTTATGTTTGTCATGATGGGAAGGGAGAAGGTTGCTGCTGGGCTATCCACTTTGAAAGTTCATGGATAGAGAGTGGCTCCACATGGATACATACACCCTAGAGGGGCTGCTCGAATATTCACTGTAGCTCTGCTATTCCATTGACAGAGCCCACCACTCAGCATGGGTCCATCCAATACTAGCGAAGTACTATACCTGCAATGAGTTATGTGCTAACAAGCCCACTCACCAATAAACAGCATTCATTAGTTGATGTTTCACCCTTCATGTAATCAATTTTAACACAAGTCCTGAATTTGACAAGACAGTCAGCCAAATGGAGTAACTTTTCAGTTATTGCTAGAAAATTTTCCTTTTCATTTGGGTCCTGTTCTTTATAAGAATCCCATATTACAAAAAAACTAACACCAGAAATTAACAAAAAAGTAGACAAACTAAATTGAAATTGAGCATTTTCAAAAAGTTAAAACTAAACTGAAATGAAGCCTTAAAACGAAGAAAAAATGAAGATGAAATTTTGAAACTTTCTATAAACTTGTGGGGAAGGAAACTCAATATGCAAAGAAATCTTGAGGAAAGGTGGCTTTGGTAACATTTTGACACACACAAAAAAAGGATGTTAAGACTCAGGCCCGGACTACACGTATATAGATATTTATTTATCAGGATATTTTATTGTCCACACGTGTTAGTTCTCAAAAATATCTGCGTCCACACGTAGCCTTCAAACTCAATCCTATCTGGTGCTGCTTAAAAAACATTCAGGAACAAAGCTACCTGATTGGCCGATGAATCATAACAGCGTGATGCGTCATGCATTGTTTGCAGAAGCTACGCTAGTGCGCCAGGTCCATGTGACGGTGTGGCGGCTATAACAAAGCAGACGCCTCTGTGAGCTGGCTGACTGGTGGATGTAATTGTATAAAACAAGGTTCACTTGCAAGGCTGAAATTAGCCCCAAAAGGGCAAAACAAACGTAAAGAATACCCTGTATGTCCACCATCATTGTTGTTGTTTTTCTTTTTAATTTGCATGCGCGAGCTGCAGTTTGACGTCATCGATCCTTGGGGCCTTAGAACCTAAATGATCCTTTTTGTTTGAATGTTGTCTGTCTTTGTTTGCAAGCAAATATCCTCTCCAGGGTAGATTTGCTAGTGAATCACTGCTGTCAATATAAGGGATACACAAAGAAAGATCATGTTTATTGAACTCTTTATTTCAAAAACCTCTCTGTCTATTACCCTGCCTCTGCAGTCTCTGACTCTCCAGACTGTGCCGAAGTGCAGAGTGGACAAAGCCAAGTACACTTTCCTTGTGTTGATATTGAGGATTGATTAGCATGAAAATACGCCTTCAAAAAGATATGTATAGATATGGAGGGGATAAAAAATGCTTACCCATTTCCTGTGTCTATGTCTCAGCATCTCCATCTTCTTTTGCCTTCCTCTTATTTACGTTCCTTCGCCTCTCTTTTCTTCCCTACATGTCTTTTGTGTTCTTCTTAGGTCAAGGTTTATGAAAGGTGGAACATCTGTTGTCTCATCAAAACCTTGTCCTCTCTGGCTGACTGCATATTTTCCCGTTTTATTTTCCTCACTCTTTCAAAAAACATTCTTCCTGCAAGGAGGAAAGTGTGTTGAAAGCGTAAGTGACCTTGAGGATGAGAGATTGCAGCATACCACAGAGCTCTTTTGTGAGGGTAAAATTCAATTCAGCCAAACTCTGTATTTAGTGAGATGCAGTTCAATTTGAGGCACTGTTGGATGTAGATACCCCAAAACCCCGGTACAAAAGAAACACAAAGCCTGCTCAAAGAATAACCACTGATGACACGTGAGAGTGATCAACCTTTCATGGGCTTTTTTGCTTTATTTGTGTTACTGAAAATGACAAATAAAAAGGGGATAAAGAAACTGAAACCTGTTGCAGCATGGGTTTTAGTCATCAATAGATTTACCCGCATTTTTCCCTTCATGAACTTACTTAATTGTGGCAACCATTTCTTAATGAGGTGCACACATGTTTGCATGACGGAGAGAGTAGCTGTTGATGTGAAGTAATCGCAGCTATAGTCAGGGGTCTTTCTCTTGGTAGTCGACCATCACTCTCCCATCTCCTGCCAAAAAGAGTCGATGTCTCTTCTGTCTTCTTCAGACTGAAGTTGAAGCTTTTCTTTCTTCTTCTCAGTCCTTTAAAATCAACAGAGATGTGTTTTCCTTTTTCCTTTTGTTGTGCAAACTGTCATCAGTCAGGCCTGCTTTTTCTGTGCTGCGTGAAGCATTTCAAGTAAGAGTAAAATCTAGTTCTCTACTGTACTATAGTGCGCTTATGCTGGCATGCAAAATGGTGAGCATTAAATCTTAGCTGATCACACCTTTGATAAACTTTTGAGCCTCATGTGCAGATTTACCTTCGCCAAGGAGGTTATGTTTTCGGTAGCGTTGGTTTGTTTGTTTGTTTGTTTGTCTGTTAGCAACTTTACGGAGAAAGTAACAGACGGATTGACCTGAAATTTTCACCAGAGGTGTGTCTCAGCCCAAGAAGGATCCTGTTAAATTTTGGTGGTGATCCGGACAAAATTCCGTATACTGTGATCCAGAACACATAAAAAAAATAAGGGTGTCTTTGGAATTTTCAATGCTGAAAGATAACCAATGGGCGGCACAGTGGTGTAGTGGTTAGCACTGTCGCCTCACAACCAGCAGGTCCTGGGTTTGAATCCCGGTCAGGGCATTTCTTGTTTAAGGGGGGACATGATCTTCTTGGCGGAGGTCTGCGCTCTCCGAGTGCTTTTCTAGTTGGAATTGCTACCTGTACATCAGGCTCCCTCACTGTGCTGGCAGGATTGATGGGCCTGAATCGCTGCCAACAACAATGTCAGGTTCACCTCCAGGAGGATGACCAAATATAGCGTTGGTTTGTTTGTTGGTTTGTCTGTTAGCAACTTTACGGAGAAAGTTACTGACGGATTGACCTGAAATTTTCACCAGAGGTGCGTCTCAGCCCCAGGAGGATCCCATTACATTTTGGTGGTGATCCAGATCGCCTTCTGGATCCAAGAATTTTTTGAAGGATTCTTTATCATTGTGAGATAGGGCAAATTTTGGAATTTTTGCATTTAACTCTATAAAAATGGCCAGAGTCTTTAGTAAAAAATTACACTTTTGTCAAAGGTTGATCCTGATCCAGACAAAATTATGGATACTGTGATCCAGAACACACAAAAATAAGGGTGTTGTTGGAATTTTCAATGCTGAAAGATAACCAATGAAGATACAAGGAAGTGTACGCTTACAAATATTGCATGATAAATCATGCATTTATGTATCTAATATGAGCTTTGTTGTTTTAGGAACATTATGAACAGTGAACATACCAGTTTAAACACAAATAAAAGTTAAGAAAAGACACGTAACAGTAAAAGTTTTGGTGTGAATCACAATATAAGGGGGGACATGAGCTGCTTGGCGGAGGTCTGCGCTCTCCGAGTGCTTTTCTAGTTTTCTTTTGTTTCTGTTGTTTTTTTCTTGTATTTTCACCAGACAATTGTACGGATGGCATCTTTATTTGCCACATGCCTAGAGGAGACACCAGTTAGTAGATAATGTCTAATGCAAACCCTACAGAGCTGTCATCCAAAGTAAACAGGCTCAAGGCTTGTCTGGTTTCTCACCAACAGGAAATTATTGAAGCTTGACTCAGAGAGGAAACCATTATGCCACTGCTGCATTTTTATAAAAGGTGTCACACGCTCATACAAGGCAAGAGGCAATGCCTGACATGATTCAGGAGGAAGACAAACAGTTTCAACTTCTTGCAAACACTTCATGTTGTGTTCAGAACTCAAAAACTCTGTTACATTTGGACCCTGCAGCTACAAAAAACCCAGTGCTCGTTCAGTGCTTCAGCATGAGTGCAGTAGGAGTGGTCCTTAGCATGTAAAAGACATCTTTTATCTCACCTTTGTTTATGGCTTCTGTGACCAACTTTCAGTTTAGGTTGATTCTTCTCGTTCCAGACAAGGTGTGTACTTTTGTCTCGTCATTGATTTTTGTGTTGTGTGTGTTGTTGTTTTTCTTGTGCTTTTCTATTTTTTTTTTTTTTTTTGAGGAAATTCACACTGCCTCCAATCAAAGTCAAATGTAGCAGTTAATAATATTCGCCGTCCAACTCCAAAAATCAGCCAGATACTACCATAAACTGTATATAGCATGGACACCGTCTGCCTCCTTGCTGGGTAAATCCACCGCAAGTACAGCACCCTCTGGTGATGGGCTGCAGTACAGGTCATAAAACCTGCCTCCTCCAGCAATCACTATGGAGCTGTGGACAAACTTTAGAAATTTATTACATAGAACATACATTTTTCTCCCCCCTGGTTGTGATGTTGACATGTAGTTACTGTAAGACTGGTTTGTGCCCAAGTCCTCTTTTTTCTGTACAGCTCCATTTTTAAAAGTTATTAGGGGGTTCATGTTTCTATGATTGAAAACTTGATACAGCCTATGGGAGTACAAAGATTGCGTAGCTCACCCGGGGGATATGCTGTTTGATGCATACAATGCTAGTGTGCAATGTTGATTTCAGGAAGTGGAGAAAATCCAAGAACCAAGTTGTCCATAGTATATACAGTCTATGGATACTACAGTTTAATGTGTTAGTTCAGACTCACAAGCAGTTTGCCATGATGCTGTGATTGCTATTATGAGAGCTACATTACGCACGTGTATTAAGATTTTAGATATATTCATAGCACATATATTCAGCCACAAACTGCAGCAGGGTTATTGTCTTGTTTATTCCTGTAGGTGCACAAAGGAAAGAAAAAATCCCAATCTGCCATATAGAAATCCACTTCAACCTCAAACCTTCTCTCACTCTCTCTCTTGCTCGCTCACTTGCTCGCCTGTCTGTGTTACCACAGGTGTTAGAGCATTGACAGAATTATATCCTCATTCCAGGGACGCCTGTCGATACTGAATTGCATGAATGTGTGTATACCAGTGTGAGCCTTTGTGTCACAGAGCAATAGCAAGAGAGATCAACCCATCGTCTCTTTCTTTCTCTGTCTTTTCATCTATCTCTACGTTCCCCAGACTGCCGCAGTTGATTCTTTTAATGGAAAATTCAAGCAGACCACCCCTCCTTGCTTCTCTTCTCCATGTCTCATCTCCTTCCTTGTTTCCTCCTCTTCTGCGCTCCTTTTCTCTCTCTGCCTCCCTCCCTCTCACCTGCCAAAATATCACAAAACGTTTCCCTCCTCTCTGTTTTGCTGTCAGTGTTGCTGATCAATGCGACGAAAAGGCCAGAGAGAGAGGCAGGGAGGAGGGGATGAAGTGAGATGGAAAGTACTAACAGAGGAGGAGAAAGATCAAGAGGAGTGGTTCTTTTTCTTTCAGCTCTTCGATGATTATTGCACTGTCCAATCCTTCCTATCCTTTCCTTTGCTTTTTTGCTCTTACTGTCCCTCTCAGTGTTGAAGGCCAAATGCCCCTCAGGGAGGAAAAAGCCAAACTAACAAACTGTATGTCTGTGGTCCTGTCAGCCGTTGCTCTGCAGGGGCGAGGGGATGGAAAACCAAGGCACAAATCGAAGAGGAGGAGGACAAAGAATCCATCCCTGAGACAAAAAGCAACAAAAGAAGAAAGTCAGTCATGTGGTGTCAGTTTGACAGTTTGGCTACTCAAATATATATTCATGGACAAGAGGTAATATTTTGCATTGAACAAAAATGTAAGCAAAGCCAAACAAAAGACAGACAGGCTGTAATGATTTCCCTTCATCAAAGTACAACTCAGGCTTTTTGCCTCTGTACTTTGGCAATGTTTCACGACAGTTATCAAACCCTAAGTATCTTTCTTTTTTCTCCAATATTATCAAAAGTGGTGACATTCACAGAAGGACCAATGACTGGTTAAAGTCTTTTGCCATTGAAACAGCCTTGCTAGTTCTGGAGGACCGACTGCAGTTGATCAGGGGAAAAATATTCCGTCTTTATAATTTGCAGAAGGTAGGAACAGGATATTAATAATTGTCTGTCAATTAAATTTAAAAAATAGAATAAATCAAGAAAAAAAAAAGGAACCAGGTGCCAATTAATCCATTCTGGCTCTTGGAAATAGAGAAACAGCACGTGGTCATTTTCATGATTCAATAATTGGGCCTTGGATAACAGTTAACACCTGGAGAAATATTTCCCAACTAATTTGTTTAATTTGAAACAGCTTAAAAAACATGATAGGGAATAAAAAGGTCTTTTCAGTGGGGCTGAGGGTGTTAAAGGTGGATCATGGAAAGCAGTAAATGTGTGAGAAATCAGTTCACCAAATTTACTTTGAAGTCATTAATTATTTGGGGTTTCTGTTATCTACAATACATAGTACCATTAAAAGATGCAGAGAAATCTCAGTACAAAAACTTAGGGATGAAAACTATAATTAAAGAATTAGCTATGATCTTTGGCCTTTGACTGGCATTGCATTAAGAACTAGAAAAGCACTAGGAGAGCGCAGACCTCCGCCAAGCAGCTCATGTCCCCCCTTATATTGTGATTCACACCAAAACTTTTACTGTTACGTGTCTTTTATGAACTTTTATTTGTGTTTAAACTGGTATGTTCACTGTTCATAATGTTCCTAAAACAAAAAATGCCTTGACCCAGATATGAACCCAGGACCTCCTGACTGTGAGGCGAAGGTGCTAACAACTACACCACTGTGCCGCCCATTGGTTATCTTTCAGCATTGAAAATTCCAACGACACCCTTATTTTTGTGTGTTCTGGATCACAGTATCCAGAATTTTGTCTGGATCAGGATCAACCTTTGACACCTCATAAAACTCAATGAGATCCTTTTGTGTAATTTTTTACTAAAGACTCTGGACATTTTCATAGAGTTAAATGCAAAAATTCCAAAATTTGCCCTATCTCACAATGATAAAGAATCCTTCAAAAAATTCCTGGATCCAGAAGGCGATCCGGATCGCCACCAAAATGTAATGGGATCTGAGGGGCTGAGACACACCTCTGGTGAAAATTTCAGGTCAATCTGTCAGTAACTTTCTCCGTAAAGTTGTTCACAGACAAACAAACAAACCAACAAACGCTACTGAAAACATAACCTCCTTGGCGGAGGTAACAAACTTAAGTCTGTAGTGGAACTTACTGCATAGGCTGAAAAATCACATCCAGAGACCGTTCACTGTCTGTGAACACAGGTCATCGCTCTATCCATAAATGCAGGTTTAAACTGTACCTGACAAAGAGGGAACTGTATGAATGTGGGCAAGTAATCTCTGTGCCTGAGTCCTTTCATGATGGACACAGTGGAAAACTGTCCTGTTGTCTGAATAATCACCATTTTACATTCAGTGAAGGAATCATGGAGATCACTTTCTCCATTCTAACAGGGAAAGCACCCAGGTTGTAAGAAGCAAAAGGTAACATCTGTACAGTGGCGGCTGCTGGTCTTTCAAGGAGGGGAAGCTCATTTTTCTGGCCTACATCATAATTGTATTTGTTTATTAGTATGTAACAGAACAGAGTCGCCAAACACAACGGCAGTCGTTTTTAACAAAGACAAAAGTCGCTGAGGATCGGTAAAGTCTCTGGAGCAGTTAAGACCAACGGAATGAATAACTTAGAAAATGCTCTGGTAGATGTTTTATTCTTCAAGATCGCTGATTCGCTTGTTTAGCTGTCAATCAAAAAAGGATTTCGCCTCAGACAGCTCATCCAATCATGAATGCAGAAGCTTGGAGTCCGGGAGAAAGTCGGGACTGCCCTCTCGCCATAGAACTCCAGTGAAGCTTAGCTTCCATTGGGCGGGACAAAGCCCAGCATTTATCCAATGAGCGTCTAGTTTCGCTGCTGGAACAACCCACTTTGAGCTTCCACATTGAAGTCAGCAGAAGCCCAGCGTCAGGCTGTTTGAAGCGCTGAGGCGCTGCGAGGATGAATGAGAACGAAGTTATGCCGGTTACCTGTGATTATCAACTTCTTATCACAGTGTCTGAACAAAAGTTGAAGGCTTTCTAGTGCGTATTTAGTAATGAAATGTACACACAGCAGTACGTATTTCACCACTTTTTCTTTTTTTGGGGGGATGACATTTTAAGGGAAGCCGAGCTTCCCTTGCAGTCTTAGAGCAATCGCCACTGCATCTGTAATGCCATGGGAACACATTAGTGTCCATGGCATAGGTACTGGTATGGAGAGACATCATTGAAGAAGAACAGTCTATACTGGTTTTTGACCAACACCCTTTCAACATCAACATTTTCTTCACAATGTTTTGAGGATGTAGATCCAATCTATTTGTTTAACCTTGTCTGCAGTCTGCATGTGTACCTGATCTTATTGTTTGCTGGCTGTATACCCAAATCAAAGAATGTAATACAGATTATTTCACTTCTTCTGAAAGTGTTGTATCAAACAAACTCCAAATGTTGGCCTATCTCTTTTGAAAGAGGAAATACAATAACAATAAAGTACCATGCTGTTATAATCTGACGTTTTGTCACAAAACGCAACCAAGTTGAGCAGGACAAAATCAGCCCAAAAAAACAAGAGGTATCTCTTTGTTGCTTAGAATCGACACAATACTGAAAGTTCCTCACAGGAGCTTTAAAGACCCACTCCGATGAAAATCATGTTTTTCTTGTTGTCTCCATGTTCATATACGATTTTTCTCATTGTACAGGACACATCATGAGAAAACTAAGTGCTAAATTGCATCTCTAAGTATTTCTGCATTCAAATTGCTGTGAATCTCTGGCAGACCCAATCGGCAGGTTCAGAAACAGAGCGATTTTCTATGTAGCAAATCCAAGCACCACTCCCGGAGCTTGGATCCAATGTTACCTGCTACTTCTCCTACACCAGCAATGTTAGGCTGCAAGCTAGTGTGAAGGGGAGTGTGCAAAACAGCGCTGTCTTCACCCACGACTCAGAGGCAAATTGCTAATGAGCTACTGGAGCTCTGCAGAAGAAAAGCCCTTGAAAATGACACAGGTAATATGATTTTGGCTAAAAACTTAATAATTACGTTTTAAAGACCACTGAGAACACTTTAAGTAATAAAAAAATAAATTAAAAATAAAATTAAAAAACGATCGGGGTTGGACTTAAAGTTTATGGTTCCTCGGAGTAGTAGTCTTAAGTTATCACTGTCTGATACAAGTTCTGCACATTCTTGGTGAGTTCTTGGAGAACGGGTATTTCCCAGAAACAATAGTAACATGTAACGTAAAACTCCATGTACCAGCCTACATGCACAGATGGATAGATGCAAAGTTGAATAGAAAGATGAATTGACTGGAAGAGACGGGAAGTGAGTCATTCTGTTTAGTCATGTAGCCTTATGGTTTCTCTGACAAACATCAAAATAACCCAACTGACTGATCAGCTTACTGACATTAACACAGTGATTAACCGGCAGCCTGCCACCAGGCTAAACCAGCAGGGCTGTTAGTGTGTGTATGTGTGTGTGTGTGAGTGTGTGTGTTGACAGACTCATCACATGTATATTGTTATAAGTCGTGTCTGCATGCTGGCTGGCGAGATCCTAACCATACCCATCCTACCTGTGTTTACCCAGTCTGTAGAAATTCAGGAAAGCTGAAAGCATGTCAAAATGGCATCAAATGTCATGTTTAGCACATAGATATAATGTTGATAGTGGAGGTGATTTCATTAAAATCATGGCGATAAAAGTTTGTCGAGACCCTTTTTTTCCAATGACCAAGACAAGACAATAATTTCTTGGACTAAGGGAAATTGGAGGCTGAGCGAAAGAGTAAACAGAAACAGTCCAAAGTCCACAGTTTTTTTCCCAAATAGGAATCAATAAGGAAATCCATTTAAAAAAATCTGATCAATGAGCAGAATCGATAGTGGCATCAATATCAATAAAATCTTATCAATTCTTATCCCTAAGTTGACAGTATTATGCTAATCTTTTCATTTTTAAAGAAAGTTGATGGCACAGAGTGGACAAAGAGAATATTTCACAAACTAGAAAAGCACTCGGAGAGCGCAGACCTCCGCCAAGCAGCTCATGTCCCCCCTTATATTGTGATTCACACCAAAACTTTTACTGTTACGTGTCTTTTATTAACTTCTAGTTGTGTTTAAACTGGTATGTTCGCTGTTCATAATGTTCCTAAAACAAGAAATGCCCTGACCCAGATTCGAACCCAGGACCTTCTGGCTGTGCGGCGACAGTGCTAACCACTACACCACTGTACTGCCCATCTACACCACTGTGCCACCCATTGGTTATCTTTCAGCTTTGAAAATTCCAACGACACCCTTATTTTTGTGTGTTCTGGATCACAGTATCCAGAATTTTGTCTGAATCAGGATCAACCTTTGACACCTCATAAAACTCACTGAGATCCTTTTGTGTCATTTTTTACTAAAGACTCTGGACATTTTTATAGAGTTAAATGCAAAAATTCCAAAATTTGCCCTATCTCACAATGATAAAGAATCCTTCAAAAAATTCCTGGATCCAGAAGGCGATCCGGATCACCACCAAAATGTAATGGGATCCTCCTGAGGCTGAGACGCACCTCTGGTGAAAATTTCAGGTCAATCCGTCTGTAACTTTCTCCGTAAAGTTGTTCACAGACAAACAGACAAACAAACACACAAACTAGAAAAGCACTCGGAGAGCGCAGACCTGGTGCCTGACAGGCAGCCCCCTCTTCACCCATGCTGGACACTGGAAATGAAAGCAGCAGGTCTCCTCATGCTACAGAACACGCAGGCCATGGATAATGAAAACCCTCCTCTCAAGTGTTTTCTGACTGATAGGGCCAATTTTGCCGAGCTTCATGATTTGGGTTGAAAGGACCCGGTCATGTGCCCCACCCCACCCCCAGCCCGGCTCTGATTTATTCCGCTAGTGGTGTACACACATGTGCTGTGTCCGAATTGCCCGCCCGCATACTACATACTACTGCTACATACTACTGTTAGATCCTACTCCTTGATTTTCATTGGACTAGGTCTTTAAGATTTAGCACAGGGTCCAAACTTTTTAGGAATTGGTGTTGAGGAAAAAGTTGCAGACTGCAATATAAAACCGAAAAAAAATAAAAAATAGAAAACCTGGTCTTAATTACTAAACTCTCTTTTGAAATTTAGGCATCCACCAAGTTCTTACACAAGGTTAAACTTTGATTTATGGATCATTTAAATTTGGAATGAATTTGAGTCAAAAAGAGGAATTAAAGACTCTGTCATCTCCTCTTCCTTTGCCAAAGGCCTGATCAGAATGGTCCAGAAATGCCATGTCCTGCTGCTAATGAGGTGTGAGTCTGTGTGTGATAGCGAGAAAGAGAGGGTCTGTGTGTGTGTGTGTGTGTGTGTGTGTGTGTGTGTGTGTGTGTGTGGCTAAGAGGAGTTTAGGGCTCGCATGTCTAGAGAAAGAGGAGTGAGAACGCACACACACTCTGACATTTAGGAGAACCTCAGACAATTTTGTTTCAGAGTCTACCCTTCAGACTGTCCGGTGCTAATTCATACTTTCTCCCTCACTTTCTTTTAAACACACACTCTCTGTCACACACATACTCACATACACACGCTTTAAGCCATTTTCCCACCTTCACACTCAAATAGCTTTATATTTCTGTGAATAATCCTCCATGCTTAGCTGTTATTTACGTCTCCCCACAGGTATTATGCTCTTCCTATTTAATTTTACAGTGACTTCCTCTTTTATTAGCCACCTTTCCATCCCTTACACTCCTCTGGTGTATTCACCCAAACACTGAAGAGCTATATGAAGTCCACCAAAACAGATCATATTTTAATTTTATAATCTAAGAGGAGCTTGGCTTCATTTGAGGTGGTTTGTGCTGCACCTGCTTCAGGTTTTTCTTTAGCCCCCGATGACACTGTAGGTGAGATCCTCATTCAGAGCTGTCAAACAGACTGTGTGACATTTATGCCTTGTCCACACAGACAAAAATGATGTATTGACATTTTTTGGAAAAGTTTAACATAAAGACGTAAATGTTTCAGGATATATCATGAAACACAAAACCACTGAAAAACACTGAAATGTAGTGCATATGCCAAGCCGGTGGGTGGCGCTGTAATACTGCCCCAGAAATGCCCCAAAAGACAGAGGAAGAGTACAGAACATTGCTGCGTCCGAATTGCCAAGTAGTAGTTGAAGTAGTATGTAGCATGTCTGAATTGGCCACCCGAGCGAGTAGCATGCTACTTCAGATACTAATTCAGATACTAGACATGCCCACATTGTAGGTTGGTCGCGGTGCATCCTACGGGCATGCTACTGACCCAAATTGCACCGCGGGCTTCTTCTTCGTCCTCTTAAAAGTTGTAGAAGCGCATGTGATGCTAGCGCCAACAGCTGCTGCCTATTTAGATGCGTTGCGAACGCTGGCTGGCCACAGCAGTGCGCACCATGGCGGAGCAGCAGCAGCAGCAGGCAGGACCGCAGCAGTACAGATGTAAGTTTCATGTAACTTCACACACTGTCCTAAAAAATGTGCGGTTGTATCTCTTTGCCATGTCATGGTGTCATATTTGCCCAAGTAATCATTTTATGAGCAAACATGTGGCGACATCATGGAGGTAAAGCTCACTTATTCCATCATTAAACTGCACAGCTGCAGTAATCAGGCAGCTCTCATTGAACAAACGATCACCACGTGAGTGAATGAAGGCTAAAGTAATGGAAAAGCTACTTTGTGAATTTCTAAAGCAGTGCAGGAATATAATACAGCAGCATCCATCACTTGCACAATTACCATTCAAAGAGTCTAAAACGGGCGCAGTACCTACTCTCTGCCTGCGGGGGTCGTCTTTCCCCACTGCTCGTCTAGTGTGTCCGAATTGGGCCAACGTGCTTAGTATGTAGGAGTAGGATCTAGCAGTAGTATGTAGCAGTAGCATGTAGTATGCGGGCGGGCAATTCGGACACAGCACATGTGTGTACACCACTAGCGGAATAAATCAGAGCCAGGCCGGGGGTGGGGTGGGGCTCGTGACCGGGTCCTTTAAACCCAAATAATGAAGCTCAGCAAAATTGGCCCTATCAGTCAGAAAACACTTGAGAGGAGGGTTTTCATCATCCATGGCCTGCGTGTTCTGTAGCGTGAGGAGACCTGCTGCTTTCATTTCCAGTGTCCAGCATGGGTGAAGAGGGGGCTGCCTGTCAGACACCAGGGGCCTCATGTATCAACGCTGGCGGCGCCAGAAAACCTTGCGTTCACCAAGATCGGCGCACACGTCCAGATTTATCATCGCGACACGAGCGTCGGTTCCATCGCAAATCAACGCAAAGTCAGGAGGTGGTGTAGAAGTTGGCGTTGAGCCGATTCTTGCGTTGACGGCACTTTGGTGACGCTGTGTGGCGGTGTTTGGTGACTCACTATGTGACAAGCGTGCACCACATCCCCGTGGCCGAGCAGCACGTCACCCCACATGACGAACCAGCAGCAGACGGAGGGATGCGAGCCGATCCCTGCCGGGCCGCCGTCCTCGCGCGGGAGAATCTCATCGCCACAATGTGAATGGGTAAGAAGTGAAGAAGCTGGCGTGTCTCGGAACCCACGCAAACTTTCTCCCACTCCAAGCGTTTTCGTTTTGCACTGACGCCACTGGACAGGCTGCCAAACAAAACACGCTGTCACTCCTCCACCTCGCACGCCGTAAATTTCGTTTTTCTTGTCATTTTGTCTGTGTGTGAGGACAGGGCGACCCCATTTAAATAAATCTGCATATTTATAGGTGGGCGTAATGGGGGCGGGCCCGGTCACTCCGACATCTGCGCTCAATTCCAAGCTGGTTGGGATTTATCAAGGAAACACACGTGGCTTTCGGCGCCCGCACATCTTGATACATACGAATTTTTTTCAGCGTGACGGACCTTGCGTGCACTCGTTTCCAGTATGAGTCCCACGCAAGTGTTGATACATGAGGCCCCAGCTGCTTTCATTTCCAGTGTCCAGCATGGGTGAAGAGGGGGCTGCCTGTCAGGCACCAGGGGCCTCATGTATCAACACTTGCGTGGAACTCATACCAGAAACGAGCGCACGCAAGGTCCGTCACGCTGAAAAAAATCCGTATGTATCAATCTGTGCGGGCGCCGAAATCCACGTGTGTTTCCTTGATAAATCCCAATCAGCGTGGAATTGAGCGCAGATGTCGGAGTGACTGGGCCCGTCCCCGTTACGCCCTCCTATAAATATGCAGATTTATTTAAATGGGGTCTCCCTGTCCTCGCACGCAGACAAAATGACAAGAAAAACTAAATTTACGGCGTGCGAGGTGGAGGTGCTGGTGGCGGAGGTGGAGGAGCGACAGCGTGTTTTATTTGGCAGCCTGTCCAGTGGCGTCAGTGCAAAACGAAAATGCTTGGAGTGGGAGAAAGTTTGCGAGAGGGTGAATGCGGTGGGTTCCGAGACACGCACCCCCGCGGAGATTAAAAAAAAGTGGTCGGACCTCAAGGTGGAGGTCAAGCGGCGTACAGCTGCCCTCCGGAGGAGTACCGGCCAGACAGGTGGGGGTCCGGGGGAGGAGACCCTCACGCCGTTTGAGCAGCGGGTGGTGGCGATTATTATTATAGGGTAAGTGGTGTGTCACACAACTGTCCACATGCTTTGTCATCCCACTGAGCAAAAGACGTATATTAGACGTCTAGTCTAAGTTTATACTTCATTTCAACGTCTAGATTCAGTCTATTTTTAGACGTGATTTATACTTCGCCCTTAACTTCATTTTTCGATAACTTTTTATGCAATAAACAACTGTAATGTGCATAACTGACCTCGAAATACTGGATTACATTACCTATGATACCGTGGAGAGAGATGTAAACGCAACAGATACACAGAAGCAGGAATTGAAATGAACTAATATTTTTATTGTGTCACAGAAATCAATGTGTCGGCCGTGTCGCCGGCTTGCGGAACCCCGGCCCGCGGCAGCCCGTCCGCCGGCTCGGAGTCGTCGGCCAGGACCAGCGGCATTCGGGCCACCCCGGCCCCCGGCCCCCGGCCCCAGCACCAGCACCAGCATCAGCACCAGCGCGCCGACAAGCGGTGGAGCGTCCACCAGCCGCGGCGCTTCCGCTGGACCACCCGGACGCAGTGGAAGGGTCCTCGCGGAGGGGGTCCTGCAATCGCAGGAAGAAATCATCAGGGGGATCGCGGGGATCAACGAGCGGCTGGACCGGCTCGTAAATGTCCTCGAGCGTCTGGTGGAGAAAATAAATTAATTTGGCTCATTGAACTGTGTATTCACTTCTTACCCATTCACACTGTGGCGATGAGATTCTCCCGCGCGAGGACGGCGGCCCGGCAGGGATCAGCTCGCATCCCTCCGTCTGCTGCTGGTTCGTCATGTGGGGCGACGTGCTGCTCGGCCACGGGGATGTGGTGCACGCTTGTCACATAGTGAGTCACCAAACACCGCCACACAGCGTCGCCAAAGTGCGAATCACAGTCAACGCAGGTATCAGCTCAACGCCAATTTCTACACCACCTCCTGACTTTGCGTTGATTAGCGCTGGAACCGACGCTCGTTTCGCGATGATAAATCTGGACGTGTGCGCCGATTTTGGCGTACGCAAGGTTTTCTTGCGCCGCAAGCGTTGATACATGAGGCCCCTGGTCTGGCTCGACCCTGGAGCAGCTAGCAACTGTTGAGTCCCTAACATCACTGCTGTACAGCCGAGAGAGAAAGAAGGGGATTTAAGCTAGGCAGCTGGGCTACTACAATGACAACCATCAGCAGTTTACAACTTACTCACACATTGTGTATAGTATAGTGATTGTTACCTCCGCCATGGAGGTTATGTTTTCGGTAACGTTTGTTTGTTTGTTTGTCTGTTAGCAACTTTATGGAGAAAGTAACAGACAGATTGACCTGAAATTTTCACAAGAGGTGTGTCTCAGCCCCAGGAGGATCCCATTACATTTTTGGTGGTGATCTGGACAAAATTCTGGATACTGTGATCCAGAACACACAAAAATAAGGCTGTTGTTGGAATTTTCAATGCTGAAAGATAACCAATGGGCGGCACAGTGGTGTAGATAGGCGGCACAGTGGTGTAGTGGCTAGCACTGTTGCCTCACAACCAGAAGGTCGTGGGGTCGAATCCTGGTCAGCGCATTTCTTGTTTAAGGGGAGACATGAGCTGCTTGGCGAAGGTCTGCGCTCTCCGAGTGCTTTTCTAGTTGGAATTGCTACCTGTACATCAGGCTCCCTTACTGTGCTGGCAGGATTGGTGGGCCTGAATCGCTGCCAACAACAATGTCAGCTTCACCTCCAGGAGGATGACCAAAATATGTGTCCACTTTTAGTAATTTGGCTTTTCCTTGCCCTCTTTTTCTTTTCTTTAGCGCTTTGCCACTCCACTTTGTAGTAAAAATGCTCCACCTAGCTTGCACTCTGTTGACAAGTGACTGATGATGTTAGCTGACTGTTGATGACAATTTTACCCAAAATACACTTGGTGACAATATAAATGATGCACTTGAATTTGCATGTCGTAAAGTGAAATGTGAGAGTGAAAATAAAGTCAGTCATACTGCACAACATTCAATATTTTCCACCTACTACATTACTAAAGTCAGTCTTTTAAAGTTTTTAGCAACTATAACTCATCCTGACAAGGGCAACCTATAAGCCCACATACATCCAGTTCTCTTAATAGTGGTTCTTCAAAAAAAAAAAAAAATGGTTTGCATGGTCTGAGCTCCTCCTGGCCCAGGCCGTGGGAGAGGCCCGCCCTCCCCAGCCCGGAGTCGGCCAGGGGAGTTGTTTCAAAAGAGATGCAGATAGGCATACACAAGGAGACGAAACAAATTTATGCGCTCTGAGACCCGTTTTCCAAAAGAAGAAGAAGAAGAAGAAGAAGCTTTATTGTCATTGTACAAGAATACAACAACATTTTGTTTGGCAGCATCTCTCTTTTTTTAAGCAGCTACATGGCGCGTTTTGTTAAAACTAGAAGAGGGAAAAAGTAGTAATATAGTAGTAAAAAAGTAACCTATTTTACTACTTTTTTTCTGGATCTAAGGGTAAAGTGAATGAGAGTAAATAGTTGGGTTTCCATTAGCCATAGATTTGCGCAAAACCTAAATATCGCAATAGAAAACTGGTAATAGAAACACCTAAATTTCGAAAAACCTCCCAGATATCGCTA